TTTATACTTTAACAATTTTAACATACAATATAATACTGTTTTATTTTTAGAAAGACACTTTTACGTGTCCTACATCATTTTACATTAAATAGGTAATATTGATGATGTTTTTACCTTCTTTTTTGGAGATGTGAAATGTTGTTCTGACAGTATGTAAAGTTTCAATCATGCAGGGCAAAAATGGCCCTTTAAAGAAATTACTTCTTGCCCTGACGCAAAGAAATGCGCACAACCCATCAGACCCTTGTTCACCACATCCCTTTTGTCCAATCGTAGCCACAGTATTACTGAGCAGTGCATTGTGGGTGATAGAGGAGTGAGTTCAAGATGACCTATTCTGCAACAAAGATAAACACGCACACATAGAGGCCCTTTTTAATCTCTACTTGCACACTCCCAGTGCACTTTGTGCTGTCGACAGTGCACTCAAAGCATTTAAGTACAAACGTTGAGAGACTGACACACAGAGAAAGAGAGTGAGTGAATATCAGTTTTGTAATCCTCTACTCACCATTGTCAGTGTTTATTTTAACTACTTCATTCCTGTCTAGCTATGAGACACACATGCACGCGCTAACGCGGTTTTCCAGATGCACAGTGAGGTTAGGCTTTGACTGAACTGCACTACCAATGGGGATTTCCAGTTTGAAATCTGGGTTAGGGTTAGCAAATAAAATCTTAAAAGTGCAATAAAAATCAAACACCATATGATTTTTGCTTGTTCTCTCATACCTCTCATAATTTCAGCACTATCAGAAAAAAGAAAGTTTCAGTTTATTGAGATTGGCAGCAGCAAATTGGTATAACTTAAGGATGCACCAATTTGGGAATTGCAGTGTGATGCCTATTTCTGTTGGTCTTCATTTAAATTTCTGCCAATTTTGAAATGTAATTTATTTGTGGAGGGTTTACAAATGCAGTAAAATTAATAGAATGCATATGTGTGTGTGTGTGTGTGTGTGTGTGTGTGTGTGTGTGTATGTATGTATATACACATACATATATACATACATAAAATGTCTTTTAAATACGTTGTCAAATATCGGTTCTGATATCATGCATCCCTCGTTCTTTTACTTGATTATCATTATTCATGTCGATGATAATATAAGCGTTATAGATTATATTTGCTGACTGTTTGTATGTATGACTGCTGTATATACGTTATGTTCATACATTGACTGTCTTAGTGTCTTCAACTGCAATTCCTTGCATACCCAAGTTATGATTACATGGCAGCAGCACACCTCAGTTATTTATTACAGACACTCATAACAAGGCAGCTGGCTACTTCAGCAAGCTCTAAAAGGGAAAAATGCTTTTAAATCTTATTCACGTTGATATGAAACCAGTGTTTGTTCTCCAGGGCTTTCAGTGAAGGCCTTAAAGGCCAGGATTGTACATGACTCGTGCTACAAGAGAGGCTATGACAGAACAGTAGCTCCTTGACTGAAATATAGCAACAAGTATATTTGGCTTCTTTGTATTATAAATTTGTCCAGCCCTAGCTGGGTTTTTTCTACTTGGACTGTTCCTGTCATTTAAAGGGCATGTGGTTTACATTTTTCTTGTATTTTAATTTTCCTTGATGTCCACTGTATGGTTTTATATGACCATTTCCAACCTTTTTATCACTCAGAAATAAACAGGCTACTATTGTTAAAGTGCCTTTAAGGTATATGTTGCCTGATATATGTAAACAGTCTCCAACGGGCTGCCTAATACTGTGCTGAAAGCTGAAACACTACTTATAGGTTCAGCATGGATTGACTGGGCTAAACTGTTGTAGGCTGAATTGGCTGATATAAATTAATTGGTTTTCGTGACATCACAAAAACAAGGCCTTCCAAATGAGCTGTTTTTGCAGCTTAGTTTCTATATATGGACTGTGCCAACTTGTAGAGTGAATGTTATGTTTAAAAGCATTAACAGTGTTTACACACTGTCAATCTATTATTTAAAAAAGAAAAGAAAAGAAAAAAGGAAAACTCCATGATATGAGCCTTTATAGAGGAATTGCTATATATGCCTTAATTCTCACTGGTTTACTAAGAGAAAAGTCTTCTGAACAGCTTTTATGATGGAGAGTGCTCCTGTACACAGTGCCTGCGTTCATGAGACAAATCAATTTGTACAATTCTTTCCTGCAGAATGCTGATCTTTGCTGACTTATAATCTGTAGCAGTTTGAAAATGCCTTTCTCTCACCATCTCAGTCACAGATGATGGAAAAGAATGTGGGAAAATATCATTTTGGATAGTGTTCACTTGCTTATTTGCACCTTGGAATTCCCCCCTTACCGGATTTGTAGTCGTCCATCAGCAGTTTTAGTAATGTGCTAAGAGATGTGCATGAAATTATGATATGCATGACTGCTGTACAGTTATTATTCTTGTTTTTCCTGCTTTTATTTCTCTTATCTCTTATGTATGTTCCTCCCTTTCTGTCACTCTCTCTCTTGTTCTTGCTTGCTCTTCTTTCAGGCTGGCTCTCTCCCTCCTTTCTCCTTATGGGCATACCTCTTCACCCCATATCAATGTCCCCCACACCCCCTCTATTTCTTTTCACTGTTTTCTCTCGCTGTCTCAGTCACTTCACCCTGGTCGTTATAAGAGTGGGTGGAGGGTTGGTGGGGTTGTTATGGCGATGAGGAGGTCTTCCTTGTATTTTGTTGTCATGGCAACTTCAGGCACTTGATATCCCTCACACGTGAGGCTGAAGCACCTCATCTACGATATCCATGTGCACACTCGTGCAGCGAGAGAATCTCTCATGTACACATTAGTGTTTATTTCATAGATCCAAAAATCTACACCTCACCCAAATAAGACTTATGACTTCCTTACCTTAGCCTAGCATCACCCCGACTAATGAAGAAAAAAAATCATATTTGAACTAAAGGCAGTCAAGTTCTGAATAGTCTGAAACGTCTTCACTCTCTAAATTTCCCTAGAGGATTCATTCCTACCTTTCACTAAATTGCCTGGGCTACTGAGGTGAGAGAATAGGGACCGTTAGGATTGTGCATGTGAATGCACACACACGCGCGCACACACACACACAGTGGTGGATTATATGGTAATCCCAAGGGATGCATCGATATGGCAATGGTGGGCCAATGCTGATATCTGATTTTCTTAAAGTACGTATGTGTCTATGCAGATGCATAAATATCTACAAAATATAGAAATTGGGTGTACATCTACTAGGATTAGCACTACAGAGAAATACAACACATTTCTGTAGGGTAACAAATTCAGTAAAATTAATAAAATGCATATATTTTAGCAATGTAGCCCAGCATTGCCTAAACAGCAGCTCTTCCAGACTACAAGAAATACATTGTTCAAATATTCGTTTGATGTATCGGTCAAATCTAAACATCTGTCCCAGTTTTTAAAGGAATTAATACCAATCCAAATAGCAGTGTGATTCCATTATCATTATGCATTACGAAAAAAAAAGGTTGGTAGGTTTCAAATCAAGATTTTAAAAATATATTTTATAACATGGCTCTCTATTTTCTTGCTAAAATACTTCAGAAAACACATCTTAAGGCAAAATGAATGAGGAGTAGGTTTTGGGTACTTCCTGGCAAGCCTGAACATTCCACGGGACAAATTTTTGGCAGTATGTGTAGTATAGTAGTATAGTACTATGTGGTTTTTGGTATCATGAAAGTCAAGTTATGCTATATTTGCAGTGTCACCCACCCATACTGATGTACATACAAAAATCATACATGCAACTTGTCCATTTTTGGCAGAATTCTCTGTTGTGTTGAATGTGTCATTCGCATGAATTGTGTCGATTTGAAGAGTTTTTCCATTTTGGGAAAGTGGGGTTGTCTGCCTCCAGCAGATTATTTTAAGGGAGAATCCCTCAGCTCCTCCAACACAGAACAACAGTAGTGCACGATTGTTATTCAGCAAATCCCAGATATGGTATTTTATTTTTATGGGCCAATCAGAACTAAGATAACAGTTAAAAAGATCCTTAAAAGGTGAGCCATTTTTTGCACAGGTTTTGGTTTCGTCGAATGGGGGACAAAAAAAAATCGTATGTGAAAATTATCATTATTGGCAACTAGAACAACCAACTTCTTTAGATTTCGTCTGAAATTGACTTTGGTGATTTCTGTGGACTGTTGTAAGCGCTATGACATGGGATCGGCGCATGACGCACCACGCACCAGAATTTCCTTATATGACTACATTTTTTTCCTAGGAGCGATGCTGCCGGACCCTGCTATAGGGGGTTTCTGAACTTGTCACCTTTTTCACTGCTCACGAGGTTTCATGTCTTATAATATAGATACATGCCACTTCATGTGTTCACTCACTTGAAGTAGGAAGTGCTCTCTCGTTTTTTTTTGTTTGTTTTTTCCAGCGTTTTTGTTCTTTTTGTGATTTTTAGGTTACTGATCTCATTCTTGTTTTTTATCAAACTGATGAAAAGGTTTAATGCACGATGTAAGATCTTAGTTGTTCATTACCACAATTCTCCCACAAGATCAGCAGCACTTTGCGTGAGTGTGTGCGCTGTTGGTTAAATGTGCACTGCTGAAGTCCACTTTCACACCATGGAGTTAATGGGTTCTTACAGCATGGTGAGAAAGAGAATTTAATGAAAGGAGGAATGGACAGAGAGAGAACCCCAAGGCAGTGATTCTACCACAGTCATGTCAATGCGTCTAACTCTGTGTGTGTGTTTGAGAGAGAGAGAGAGAGAGAATGCTCTGTCTCTTACACGCACACACACACACGCACACACACACACACACACACACACTTAAAGCTGCTGCAGTCTCTGGGTTAGACCTTTTGACTGACCTCAGAGGCAGTACACCCACATAGTAACCACAGGGACAAGGGGAAGATAGTTTGTTTACATTTACATGTACCAAGAAGAGAATGTGAACCTTGATTAACTAACTGTGTCTCTCTCTCTCTCTCTCTCTCTCTCTCTCTCTCTCTCTCTCTCTCTCTCTCTCTCTCCAGCCCCTCCCCCCAGCAGATTTAACCGGAGAGTGTCGGGTGAGCTGTTTTTGACGTCATTGCACTAATCATGTGGTTTAGAAAGTGTGTGTGAGACGGAGAGATGCGGTCTGCCTCTCTGTCTGTCATTTCCCCCCCTAGGGTGTGTATCTCAGTAATTATGCACCCCCTTCCTGTGTGCTCGCTAATTCGGACCCCCTAATGTGTGTTACACTAAAAGTATTTTCTTAATTTGACACTTCAATTGTCTTTCCCAGCATGGGGAAGTTTTAATGTTCTGTTTTGTAAAGTTACTTAATAATGGCTTCCTATGAGGAACGATAATTTCCATGTTTGAAAGCTTTGTTAAATGAGATAAGAATCATAATCTGATTTAACAAATGACTGTAAATGATGCATTAATAAATAGCCTACATGTATGTTTATGGTCTGTGATAGTGCATTCCATTATACTAACCCAGACCTCAAAATGTGTGCTATAAAGAGCAAATCTACTCCACCCACTGCTAATGGTCCAGCAGGGACAAACCCACCCCCCTACATTCTGAGACATGTGCCAAGGCGTCATGGGAATGAGCGAATTGAGGCGGGGTGGTTAGGCCAAGGGCTCAGGAGAGCTGAGATGCAGTCATGAACTCCTTTAGAGCTGTCAGTTACTCAGTTAGCCTAAACCCAATTAGTCAATTAAAATTTATCTACTTGATGAAACAGTAGTTTGCGTTATGATAATGCATATAATGTTGCATAACCGTATGTTTTACAGTTTATATGCTTTTTTTTACGTCCAAAATGTAAGTTAATTTGGACTTTTTGAAAGGGAAGTGCATAGGAATGTAAGCAATTTACAGATTAACGAACAAATAAACAATTGTTTGATCAATGCTATCAGTTAGAAAAAGTAAATTTAATTTTATTTCATTTCCAGTAAACTGAGGATAAGTTGAGGAATGTTTGTAGAGGAAAGTCTATGCATGAGGGCGCAATATGCAGTTGGTTCCGCTAAGTAGGCTTACTAAAAAATAAATAAAAATAGTTTTCGAGAGGTCGATTGTTACAAACTACAACAATGTACCACATTGAAAACAATCATCCGAAGCCTGACAACTGTTTCGTCGATGTTCTCTGTCTGAGAAATTCATGGCAGTGTGAGTCCATTTTAATTGCTTTTTTTTCTTTTTAAAACTCCTTTATAATTGAGTTATTACAATAATCAGAACTGCACAGTTACTTAGCGGTAGTGACAGCTCTAAAGTCCTTTTTTACTATGTCTTCCTCAGATAAACTCTGCTGACAGTGTCTTAACTTTTAATGGTAGTATTCATCTCCCAGTTTGTGCAGAGCCTTTAAATCCTGATGATGATGAGGAAGACTCTGAGCCAAGAGTCGTTCATCCAAAAACAGACGAACAGAGATGCAGGTTACAGGAGGCCTGCAAAGACATACTACTGTTTAAAGCTCTTGACCAGGTACACACACATTCTCTCGCTTCCTCTCTCTCTCTCGCACACAGACACTCACACACACTCTCTGATCCTCATAGTCTCTCTCACCCTGTGGTTTTAACAGGAGCAGTTTTCACAAGTGCTGGACGCCATGTTTGAAGTGATTGTGCAGCCCCAAGAACACGTAATCAAGCAGGGAGATGACGGGGATAATTTCTACGTCATTGAGAGGTAAGTGTGTGTGTGTGTGTGTGTGTTTGCATACATGTGGGGCTGTCCCCAGAAATGCCATTTGAATTTTTTAAATAATATTTGAGTAAGATTAACATAGCCTTTGCAAACATCTCTTATTACATCTCATCATCTATTACATCTCTGCCACAAATGAAAACATAAACTTTGTTCCCAGCACTTACCGCTTGTGAACAAATCTGCTGGAAGCTTACACCATAGGTGGAGTTAATGGTAGCAGATGAAAGGGCTAGTTGTAACAGTAGTCCTGCAGATGTGATCTTGTAACTAGAACACTCATCTGGGGACAACTTGTAAAACCTTTGATGCAGGATTGCAGCAAAATCTGCCACAAACAGGGGTTCTGCCCTTCTAAAAACCCACTCCTAAATTCTTCCAGGTTGCGCTCTTTTACTGTACAAAACAATAACACTACCAAAACAATCTAACAAGCCAAAGAGACTAGCTAGCAAAACGCTATCATTAGCTAACAGAACTAGTTTTCACTCACAAGAGGTAATGTTTATATATATTTTTAAGTGCATGTGATGTGTTCTCCAAACACACATCTTGCTTAATTGGAGACTTGCCAGATATTCAGGATGTTCTGTTGCTATTGGAGACTTTTCAGCCTTACATCCAGGCTTGTTGTATGTTGGACAGTGTTGACAAGTGCTCTGTTGCCTTCACAAGGCATTGTATTGGTTTCGAAATTTCACACTCAGTTTGTTCCCTCCCTAATAAGTCTACATTCACACGTCCACATTAGGCTATATTTTTCATGATTGCCCCCAGACGTTCTCACTTAGATCATTTCTGGCCCCGCTGAGACTAGTGACAGTCACTAAAAAGTCTAGTACGTCAACCAACACAATTAATTCTGTGTTAACTGAGGAGCTTTAAATGTTTTTAGTGTACATATTTGTAGTGTATATGATGTAGGTCTATATATAATATATTTTGTGATAAAAAACACCCAGGATGGAGAAAAGTTATTTTCATGGTATGTAAAGTCTTTAAGTGAATCCTGAGAAATCTACCCAATATCAGACCACAGATGAGGTTGCTATGGGGATATGAGATGGCCAACGGCATATTCTACTTGAACCTGTTTAACTACATTAAAAAAGGTTATATCCCCTGCTCTCTCCTTGTTAGTTTGGTTTGGTTCTGTTTAAAATCGACCTGAAATCAAAATTGACCTTTTTTTTTCTTTTCTTTTTTTTTAAACCTCTTCAGTTCATGCCCCTAGTCATGTTAAGCGAAAACCATGATATAGCATTTAAACGGCAAAACTCTTAATTTAATACAGTCCATATATGTTTTTATTTTGCCCATCTTTGAAACGTTTTCTGATTTTTGGCTGTTTCCACGGGACAAACTGGCAGGGGATAAATATTAACCAGTGAGATGTTTCACCTCCCCCTTCACCACCCCCCATGTATCTTCAAGCAAAAACGCTCAGCCAGCTCAGAGACCCTCCCTGATGCCGTATTTTACTTCAACGTGCGCCACGTTAGTCAAGGAAAATGCATTATGATTTCCAGTTCATATTGGAACATTCAAGCTCCATTCGTATGTTCAAATGGAGCTTGAATGTTGGATCATTTGAAAAATATGCGGTAGCCTGGAGTTCTTAAGTCTATGCAGTTTAATTCATTAAGATGTATCTGTGAGCTTCTGCCAGCTGGCAGTGTGTGGGAGCAGTTTGTTCAGGCACCAACATGCAGCGAAATGCTAATTAACACACCTCCAACAATACAAGCAAACGTCTTTCACCTGTACCTTCCATTGAATTTCTAGAGCAGAACCCATCTGTGTTGAACTGGTGCTTGTCAGATGTTCAGGATGTTCTGTTGCTACTGACAAGTTTGTCATATGTGTAAACAAACTTCAGTTGGACAAAATGTGTTGTGACAGCGCTATTGTTTGTGTTGCAGGGGAGTGTATGATATTGTGGTGCAGAAGGACGGCGTAGGCTGCTGTGTTGGTCAATATGATAATAAGGGCAGCTTTGGAGAACTGGCGCTCATGTACAACACACCCCGTGCTGCTACCATCATCGCTAAGCAGGAGGGAGCTCTGTGGGGACTGGTGAGTGTCTGTATGTACATGCGTGAGTATTTATTAATGCACACTTCATTTAGTCATGCTTTTTGTGTGTGAGTGAGAGAACCCTGCTTGCTGTTTTAAGCTACAGCACCACCAAGTGGCTAGTAAAACTCTGACTACTACATAGAAACTCCATTCATGAGTGTATCCTAGAATAGCAGACTGAACACAGGCACTGTTAATGAGCTTAGCTGGCGAACAGGCTCAAAGCCACAGGGGAGATAAAAAGAGTTTTTTCTGAAAAAATCCTTCACACAAATATCTAACAATGGAAGAAAGCTAGTGAAGCAGGTCATTTGTAGGTTAGCTTGAACAGAACCATGTTCAGCACCTATCACATTTTTGAGTGACTTGTTTAAAATCTTCAGTTTCTTCAGCATCCCAGATAATCTAATGATAAATCAAAGCTGCAAGGCCAAATTAAATTAATAAAACAGTGTATAATATGTGTATAATAAATGGCTTGTGTGTGTGTCTTGCAGGACCGAGCAACATTCCGTAGGCTCATAGTGAAGAACAACGCGAAGAAGAGGAGGATGTACGAGAGCTTCATCGAGTCTGTTCCACTGCTCAAATCTCTGGAGGTGAGAGAGGGAGAGAATTGGAGTGCATATTGGTTTGGATGAAAAGCACATTAGTAAGTGCTGTGCCTCATGAAAATGAGTTTGATCATTTGTGCTTGGTTTGAACATTCTTTATTGTCCTCTGAGACAATGCTTGCTTTCACAGTCTTATTTCTTTAATTTCCAGTCAAAATGGCCATTAAGTACAAGGTATTCATTTTTCCAAAGATCTTGCTGATGAAGTTAGGTGCAGGATAATCCATTTGCATAAGAAATGGGAAAGTGAAAGGAAATAAAAGAAAAAAAAAACAGGAGTTTTCAAATGAGTTCAAGAATGGTTAAAAGATAGCTTCTAAGCTTCTAAGGCTGAACTTTTGGGGTATGGAAAATATTTCTTTGAAAAACTGAAAGCAAGTCTCCAGGAAAGAATGGAAGCTGTAATAAAGGCAAAGGGTGGATACACTAAATACTGAAAAAATATTATGTTTGTGTTGAGGCAGACGTTCTGATAAATATGTTTTATACTTTTTTCCCTGATGCAGAAAAATGAATAACTTGTGCTTAATAGCTGTTTTGACTGGAAATTAAATAAATGAAGGGTGGTCTCTGACTTTTGCACCATATTATAAGAAATTACATATCCATATAAACGTCCCATATATAGAGCAGGCGAGACTGCAAGTGTCCCCCACCTACAAACACTCACATGTACAGCTGTGTAGATAAATGCAGTACATTTAAAAGTAATTAGCTAGATTAGAATGGGTTTATCCTGTACATGCTATGCTGCATGTGTTTGATATGACCTTTCTTATGGGACCACCGGTGGTTCCAAAATGCACTTCGTCTTGACTTCTATCCAGTCAAATAGGTGGGTAATGTAATTTTAAACCCTTATAATAAAAGAAGTTGAACTCTATAAACTGGATCCTAGATGGTGTCTCTTCAGTGATCTGCTCTGTAAAAATTCTTTTTATAAAAAAAAATACAAAGAGCGTCTAAGATTTTTGGCTTTCAGCAGTAAATTGTAAGCATATAGCAATATGTGTATGATCATAAAACACATGTTCTGTTAATTTGAGGGGAGCATTTACCAAAAATAAATAAATAAATAAATAAAAATTAAATAAAAGTACATTCATTTTATGCAGTTACTGAATAATTTGCCTTACGATTTGGGCATGTACATTCAGATGGAAAAAACAAAATATACCCTGGAGAATAAGAGGTTAAAGGCTACAGCTGTACATGATGATAACTAAAAACAATAGGCCTCATTCAACAGCCGTTCTTAAGAAGAAAATTCTTCTTAAGCCACTTACGCAGTTTTCGTGAAGATTCTGACATTCACCAATGTTTACTTATTTGGGATTTGTTCTTAGGTAAGAACAGAATTTACACACCCTCAAAAGCACAAAGGTGTAAACAATTCTGCGATTTAAGAACACATCATGAATCTGACGCAGACTTTTTCTTAGGGTCTTTCTCAAGAACAAATTTAAGAAAAAAGATATTGGTGAATGAGGCCCAATGTTTGCTAAGTTTCCTACCATATATGGCAAGGTTTGCTTCAGCCTGTTCTGCTGGTGACCCTCTTGTGTAACCTAGGCTGAAGTTAATTACTTACTGCCACTAGTTAATCTACACCAGTCTGTCTTAAGAGGCTTGAAGCCATTTGACCATATGGCACCACTGACTAGGCACATTCGACTTTGAAAGTCACGTAACCATAACCAAAAAAACTAATAGAAAATAATAATGACTCATACAGATGGCAGGTAACACCTATGATCTAATGTAATTAATGTATAATCATATAAATGGTTTAATCAATTCTGTCTGATCAGGCATTGTTTATTACTGTATGTGTTCTACACACAGACATTATACTGAATGTGCTATATTTGCTAGTATCCTGCTGTGTCTCTTACTCTTTTCCCTCCACTGTCTTTTCCTTATTAGCTGTCTGAAAGGATGAAGATTGTTGATGTTTTGGGAGTTAAGACTTTCCAGGATGGAGAGAGAATCATCATGCAGGTGAGATAAGAGCATGAATATGCATGCAAGCTTCAGCACAAACAAGCAACTGTGATAACCTTAGAAGAGCTTTGTGTATTGATATATTGCTTAGAGAACACGATAATATAACTTACTGATATTGTATTGTAGGGACTGTATAATAGAACAATAAATTTAAGGGTTTTTTAAATAAGAGTTGGATATACTATATAGACACTGTCAAGGTTTCAGAATGTAGCATTAACTTGTGCATGTGTATGGAAACTGAACTTCAAAAACATCCTGTTTAAAATTCATGGTGGTTGTGGATCAGAACAGAGGTCATTTACACTGATCTGTCTTAAAAGCAGAGCAACAAAAACAGCCTTCTTAATTCTAAGGGCTGAAGAGAGGTTGGAAAATGATAATGTTAAAAAAGAATTATGACTTTTTGGTACATAAAACCACACAAATGTTATGAGTGGACTTTGAGGAAAGAACCAAAGTACAAGTAAACTGCAAACTGTGGCCCCTTGAAGTGTTAGTAGTGGTGGATGTAGTCTTGTTATAAGAGTTTTATAGAGGAAAGTTCTGAGTTATGATGTGTTACTAATGAGGATGATCATGTTGCCAGGGCGATATGGCAGACTGCTTTTACGTCGTGGAGTCTGGGGAGGTGAAGATCATGATGAAGAGCAAAGTGAGTTCCTTTTTATCTTTTTTCATTTTTTTTTTCTCTTCATTATTAAGGAAGCGTAAATGTAACACCTTAAAGCCCCCAAACAACTTAATGATATTTTATTTGCCGAACCTTTAATGATCATTGAGGTTTTAATGAGATGGAACAGAGGAATAGTGTGTGTAAATATAGAATAATGTTGACACACGTTCCACTTCCTCTGTCTTTCTCTCTCTCGCTCTCTCTCTCTCTCTCTCTCAGACGAAAGCAGACAGGCAGGATAATGCAGAGGTAGAAATCACTCGCTGCACCAGAGGACAGTACTTTGGAGAGCTCGCTCTTGTCACCAATAAACCACGGGCTGCCTCAGCTTACGCCATCGGGGATGTCAAGTGCTTGGGTATGTGTGTGCGCGCTTCGTAGCGCTTTAATCGACCAGAAATGTTCTGAACCCGAATATAGGCAGAAAACTTCTGACCCAACCCACAAAAACAACCTGTAACCCAATAAAAGACTGTCTGAACCGACTATAGCAGGGGTGTCAAACTCAGTCACTAAAAGGGCCATATTAAAAATCACAACAAATCAGTGGGCCAGAGAACCCTATTTTTTATTTCATTGTTAATTACCATTTTGCTGTAAACCGAACTGACCATTGTTTATTTAAAAATACGCAAAAACTTTTGCAGTAAAATATAGGCACTTGTAGTAGACCTTGAAATATTATATGACTACTTGATATATTCAAAATTTAAATGTCCTCAGTAGCTTGGTTTTTTAAGCGTGCCTGTTTGCTTGAAATGGACACCTGGCATATTTTCTTTGCTGCAAGTTTATTAATATTTTAATTTCTAAGCTGCTGAGCAAACGTTAAGTGTTTATATAGGCTGAACTTCAGCTGGTGTGTTTGGTGATACGACTGGCATGGAACTGTGTAGAATTGTGTAGAACTGAGGTGTTACGCTGAATATACGCTGTCCCTTAGATTGTTGTTGGGGTAGGAGAGTCAGAGTGCACACTATATTGCAGTGCATGCTGGGGACTGTAGTGCAGTGCACTGTGAAACGAGCCAATATTTACAGAAAATTAAAATACTTTTGCAGGCTGGATAGGATTGTGTTGTGGGCTTGATCTGGCCTGTGGGCCTTAGGTATGACACATGAGGACTATAGCCTGAAAAAAAATTGTCTTACACTGACTGTCATCTGACAAAAGTTCTGTTTGAACCTGACTGTAGTATGGTAAATTTTTATTTTTTTACTTTCAAACCATATCAAAAACTTTAGTCTGCATAAACTTTACATTCACATGCTGGCCTCTTTGGCCTCTGTGGCAAATCACCGTGACTCGAGCGAGCTGAAATAAAATTGTTGACTAAAAGTAGAGAGGAAGAATTAAGTAAGGAAAGAAAAAAAAATGACAATATTAATATGACATGGTTGTGTTTGTTTTACAGTGATTGATGTGCAGGCGTTTGAGCGGTTGCTGGGCCCGTGTAAAGAGATCATGAAGAGGAACATCGCTCACTATGAGGAGCAGCTAGTGGCTCTGTTTGGCTCCAGCATGGATCTGAGAGACTGAGAGAGAGACTGGTCGTGCCTTACACACAAATACGAACACACACAAGAACACACAGAAAAACACATAATCAAACACACACTTTATATACACACACAACATTTTGTAGGCACACACTCCTTTTTATGCTCAACTTATTCCAGAAGAGAGAATTTTCTTTTTTCTCTCTGTTCTCACTCCATCTCTTTCTGTCTGACACACACACACACACACACACACATGCACACATATACACACACACACACACACACACACACACACACACACTCAGATATGCACGCCCGCAGTCAAAACATCAGCTTTTCGGTATGAAATAGAAGCATTACCCTTTTTACGGCTCTGACCCTGAACCAGTCTGACAAGGACGGACAGATACACATACACACGCTTACTCACACACAACATATACACAAAACAACAAATAAACCCAGCCAAGGACCCATCCCTTCCCATGGACACAAAAAAAAAGAGGATTTCGGTGGACTAAAAAAAAAGAGAAAGGTTGGGGAAAACAAAAAGCCTAAAGTAAAATCTAAAATTAAAATGCAAAAAAAAGAAGAAAAAGTTTTAGAAGCATTTTATGACAGTGCAGAGCTTTGATTAACACTTATTTAATGAAATAAGACTTGTTTCCTTTCCTGCTGTTGGTGCATTGAGTTAGTGCTGGTGGTATCCACGGTGACCGATGTTGGGTCCTCGTTTTGCTCACACAAACTCCACATGTTGTATTGATTAATGTATTATTATTATTACTATTATTACTATATATGGATTATTTTTGTTTTACTTTGACTCCATTGGAAGTCTCTCTATTGGAGGATGTGAGAAAGAATCTAGTGCTTATTTCTTCTCTTGGTCATTCTGGATGAGTTGTCCCGAAGATTAAATAAAGCAAACATTTTGGTAACGTTCTGATTCTTAACTTGGTCTGCATCTCTTATATTTGAAGAGGATGAAGTGAAACAGAGGGTCCATTACATAGTATTTTCATACAGAATTGCTTCTTACTCCATCACATTGTACCAATTGAGCTGAGAGGGCATGTAATGCACAGTCTTTTACACCTGTGACTAGTCAGATTGTAATGCCGACTCATGCATTTTATAAAAGGTTTTCGGAACAGACGTTCACTGTATGTACTCACATGTATTGAAGTAGTGTTCATTTTGGATTTGAAATGAGTTCATTGATGGTTTAACTTAAGACTTCATTGGAATTACCTAGTTTTCTGTATTAATTGGTCATAAAAATATCTTCATTTAAGTCACAAATATAGACAAATGCAAAGTGCTAAAGCTAATAACACACAAACAGTTTCTTTCATGTCTTTATCGTGCACACCAAATATTCAAAGTGCTGGTGGGAAAAGTAAGTAAACCCTTGAATTTAATAACTGGGCGAAACTCTTTTGGCAGTAATAATCTCAAGCCTTACAGAATTGTTCTTTGGATATCTGGTGTAGATGGCTCTTGAGGTAATTCCACATTGGTATAAGGTGATTTATTTATTTAGTATTCTGTAGTAGATTGACTGTGATGTTTAGGGTCATTGTCCTGCTGCATCATCCTACTGAGCTTCAGCTGGCAGGCAGCCACTTTGACATAATCCTGTAGGATATCTTGATAAACTTGGGAATTAATTTTTGGATTATGGCAATCTGTCCAGACCCAAAAACAGCAAAGAAGCTCCAAATCATGATGCTCCCTCCACCATCCTTCACTGCTGGGATGATATCATGTTGTTATGCAGTGCCCTTTTTTGTGTTATTAGTTTAAACAGATTGTGTTTGTTCTTTATTGTAACTTGAAGACCAGATTATATTTTAAGATCACTTCATACATTCTAAACAGTTTGCATACTTTCCTTGCCACTAAATATGGAAACTAAGCTGCAAAAGTCTTATGAATTCCTTGTTTTTGTGATGTCACAAAACTCCTATAGCAGTTTAGCCTGTTTAGGTAGCATACAGTTGCTCTCAAAATGAATCAACCCCCTCTGAGACCATAAGGATTTACCAATTCAAGCTTTTTTGAAGACCCAAAACATTTTAAATGATCTGTGTCAGCTGAATGACCTACTTAAATTGATAGTGAAAATGTGCAGTCATATTTTTGAGTAAAAGGACTTGTTTTTTTTCTTAATACAGCCATGTCATAATTATTCAACCCCTATTCACTATTGCTGTTTTAAATCACTGCTGGTTTGTAGGCTACAAAACTGTGCTACAACACAATTAAGCCTTTAATTTGCTTCAGCTGTGATGCATATATAACTCCCACCTATGCATGTGTTCAAGCTCAGCAGCAAACATGGACAAAAGCTGGAAAAAAAAGTTCTCATTGCACCAAAAAGGCAATAGCTACAACACGACATCCCCGACATTTATGGTTCCAAGAGACGTAATTGGAAGTATCATACATAAGTGTAGAACTCATGGTACAGCAAACCTACCTGGGTGTGAAAGAAACAGCAAAATTTCACCTAAAGGACATTTGAACAACTGAGGGGAAAAAAAACATTCTACTGCTGGAGATTTGCAGTATGACCTGATGAATACAGGTACAAAAGTATCAGTGTACTCGATAAGAAGTGCACAACAAAAGCAAGGACTTCACGCCCGGAAACCTCGCTGGATTCCACTCTTGACTAAAAAGCACATAAAAAGTCGACTTGAGTAAGAAGGAATTTGGACAGGCCTGTGGAATTCTGGGAGACAGCTTTATGGAGTGATGAAGCTAAATTAGAACTGTTTGGATCCATGGATCAGTGGCACTTGTTAAAAAAAGATTTTGAAAGATATAACACATTGTCCATCAACTGGAAGAACCATTTCTCCATGCAAAGTACGCTTTAAGCATGCAAATAGTTCTTTGAGTGTTTATGGTTCAATATAGAACCATTGTCTTTAATACAGAACCATCTTTAAGAGTGCATGTCTCATGTAAAAACAGCAGGGCTTATGACAGAAAGAACACCATGCAAATTTGCGAACATTTTTATTTGTAAGGTGACTGCAGAGAAGGAAAAGACTTGCATAATTACCTACATGATTACATGTGTGATGTCATGGTGGTCCTGGATGCTCTTTGGAATTCTGTGGAAGGTGGGCCTACACTCTTAAAAAAGATGGTTCCTCAATGGTTCTTCAGTCCTATATGGAACCATGAACAGTCAAAGAACCCTTTGAATGACTGAAGGGTTCTTTAGATTGATGGAGTATGTACTGTATCTTTTTGAAATGTGTTCTTCTATTGTTATGATGTCAGGCGTGTCACAATAGAAGAACCCTTTTCAAAAGGTTTTTTTTTCTTTACTAAAGAACCCTTGTAGAACCATCTTTTTAAAGAATGTACATTATATTTCTTCTTTATTTTCTCTTCTGAGATTATACCGACACCTTCAAGCTCAGCTGGTAGCAAAGCTTCGAAAGAGTTGAAAAATGCATCTTGTATAAATGCAGAACTATTTCCTTAAAACAGTGATTTCATGTTTGGTTTCACTTACTGGTTTTTAAATTAGCATTGTGCATTGTAAAAAAAAATCATTCATACTAGTAAAAAAAATCGTTCTATTGAAATGAATTGGGACAAGACATGAATTTTCACTAGTGTGAACTGAAATCGTACATGCCAGATTATTATTCCAACTAATAAAAGTTCATTTTTGAGTTCTTTTTATAGCATTAATGTCATTTTAATTTGAATTTCTGATATCAAGAAAATATGAAAATTATGAAATTAAAATCTAGAACGCCTGTCCCTAAATATACACAGTGCTGGAATAATTTGATTCTTATCCGTGAAAATTTCATTGAGAAAATTCAGCCGTTCCTCTGTGAACCGAAGGATGAATCGCCTCCCGTCCGCTAGAGGGCGACCTACGGAAGCGAGACTGCTGGGTAAAGACCGAAGGCGACGGCTGCTGTTCATTCATTGAAAGCTGTCAATGGGACTGTGGAGGCTGATAAACACTGAAAACTGAAGTGAAATTATGCATTTAAGTCATATTCAGGATTTATGCAACATATATTTGTTTTGGCTGCACTCTGTGACTGTTTTCCGCCGCTGAGAGGAAGAAAATAAGGATGAAAATGTGGGTAAACAGAATCACATACAGACAAAGTTAGTAAGTCACAGACCGAATACCCGACCTGTGCACAGTGAGGCTGATGGAGTAACGCTGATCTTAATGTTATGCTAAACTGTGATTAATTCCTCAGCTGTTCAGCTGGTTGATGTGTTGAGTTTTGATTATGAGAAGCTGTAACTGCCTGACAAATTCGCATGACTGCTAGCTAACTAGCTAACCTGCAGCTCTCGTTTTGAAACGAGGCTGAAGTCAGATGACTGGAATTTTTCCGTTCCACCTTAAATGGTGCAGCAGTTACATTCTGGCGCCTCACAATTTAAGGTGGAACGGGAAAATTCGAACAGGAACCGCTATCAGCCTCCTCCTTTAGAGTGAATTCGCCGAGAACAGAAGCGTTGAGTCCAGTATTACCGTGTATACCTCAGTGTAGTAGCCAGTGCACTGATGGTGAGAGAGGTTTAAAGCTAAATGTTACTGCTTGCGTTAGCAGAGTCCATAATTACCTTATTAGGAAATGGAGAGTAAAACCTCCACCCAGGCTGTTTGCAGACAGCGCCGTCTGGCGGTCATGTTTCCAAATTGCTGAGACCGTTAGTTCATCCCTAACGAAGAGTTAAAGCAACAAACAGTCAAAAGGTTGGACACCTGATTCGTTGTATGTTTCTCCTAAAAACATTCTGATCTACTGTCTTCTGCGAAAGTGCTTGAAAAGTTGTTTATTAATATTTTTATGAAAGATAATTCCTTACAATAATTATCAGCATTGGACTGGTGTTTAGAATTGGCTGATATTCCAAGCCGTATTTGATCACATATTTATTGTACTCCAGAAGAGCACAATGTTTAGGTGACGCAGGGCTGCTGCATTAAAACATCTGCATTTTATTTGTTATATTTCTTTGTAGTGCTTATCCGAGTAGTTGTAGTCTTAATATCGGATCATTTGTGCCAGTAAATGTTCTTGGCCTATTTCCCAAACCAACATTAAGGCTAAGCATAGACTTAAAAGAATGCTAATTCACCATTGTCACTGCAGTTTAGTCCAAGACTAGGCTTAAACCACATCAGAGAAACCGGTCCTAAGCTTAAATGTCTTCACTCTTGCCCAGCTCAGTTTGTTCATACTAGAGGCTGCTCGTGTGCATGTCACCGATGTTCTTATTGGTGTGGTGGATGAAGCTTCACCCCTCTAATACTTTCTCACCACACTCTTCACCACTTGTGAGATCATTTGCTGCTAAAAAAAAGTCTTAAGTGAGAACTGCAGATCCCGTACCAGACTATCATTGTTTTAATCTAAGCTATTTTAGGAAATTAGAAATGCTTGATCTGATCTCAGATCAGTAGGGAAGTAAGATTTACACCATCTCTTAGTGCTCATATCTCGTTTCCTGATTCTCTTCTGGGTGTGAGAGTGGAACACGTTCAGTACTGTTGGTGTCTGTCTGTGTGTGTCCGCGCATCACAGTAGGTAAGACCAGGTGTTTATTCTCTGTTTAATGGTTGCACTCAATTTTAATGCTTTTACATTTTTGTGAGATTCATCTTTAATTGATGAATTTGGCTTGTTACAAAATGTAACATGGCACTGGAACAGACTGTATGTATTCCACGTTCAAACACATACAATGGGCTGATTATCATTGCACCACACAAAACCAGTCTGGACTTTAAAACAGAAGTGGAACGTGTGTGTTGTGAAGTTTTAGTCATGTTATTTTTTATTTTCTTGATTAACTGTGTTAATCTAGGAGTGATACAATGATCAGCTGCTTTGTCATTTAATTACATGCAACTATTTAAAGGGGAGGTCTGCTTTCCGTTTTCAAAATTAGAGCAGCAGGATGTAAACAAAGTTATTCAGAGTGTTTTGATGTGAAATATTCTAGAGAAATTTTCAGAGTCAGAACTGTTTGCAGTGGTGGTGATAGGAACCAGACGTCTGAAGAGCTCTAAAAGCTACGTAACAGAAAGCTGGTACGTGAAATGGTTATGAACACGCTGCCTGATGGCTGACACATTGCTTTATGATAGTTTTGAGAAGATTTTGGCCTAAAACCTATGTTTAAAATACATACATAGTGGAGTGGTACATGTAGGTGTTCTAAAGCAAAGTAGCTCCCAAAGAAAACTTATTTTTTCAGATTTATGACTATTTTACCATTATAAGCATGACGTAAAAACTCAGAAATCATGTGAAGGTTCACGGGTTGTATAGTTAAATTTCCCTTGCAGATGTCATGACCCCTGGTTTGTGTCATATATAAAAAAGTAAGAAGACACACGTAGGTTAACTGGCCATTTTATATAGTAAATAAAGCTATAGCGCTATATTTATGTTGTAGACATTGCGACTCCTGGGGTCTGTCTCACAACAAATTCTTGCTGTTCTGTTTTACTGTCATAAATGCACTACACATGACGCATTTAGATAGTATGAATTATAAAAAAAGAAAAGAAAGCTGCTCATATTTCAGTTGGGCTCATTGTCATAAATGTGCCTAAGGATTAATCGTAGCTAGAGTATCTCACTTCGCTGGGCTGACCCATGAGGTTACGAAAACATTTAGGAGCATAATGTTTGCAAGATTTCTTATTCTTAAGAAGTTATTTGAAGAATAACAGTTTTTATAACTTCGTTCTTAAGAATGAAGTTAAAAAACAATTCGCATTTAAGAAGTTTTTCTTTCTTAAGACACTTTGTGAATCCGGCCTCAGGTTCCTATTACTACTGTTCACTCGTTTTCTCTACAGAGTACCAGTTAACGTACAATTTTGAAAAAATGGTGGAATTCCCCTTAATTACAAATGTCTTTACACTTTTTAAAATTGTTTTCCACTTAAAATATATATATATAAAAAAAAAAGATTCTATGGAAATTTGATGGGATTTCAGACACCATTATCATGCAGCTCTCCGCGTATCATCCAGTGTGCTGCAAGTGCTCAGCTGGGAAAGTTTTTTATTGACTTTTATGGTCATTTTGGTGGTGAAAAAAAAGAAATTCAGTCCGGGTCAGAAAAGCAAGAGATACTGTGAGCTACATGCATTAAACAAGTATTCAGTTTTGGACGTGTAGCCTAGCCACACTGCACAACAGCAGCAAACTTCACAGTGACATGGCTGATCTTTCAAATACTGGTCTGTGTGCTGTGTCGTCAGCTCTGTGGTCAGGAGCTGTTAAACTGTGTAAGAAGCGCCTCGAACTATCAGAAGAAGACTTGCTTCATACCCTGACCTTCTGTGGTCTCCATGATCATGAAAAAGGAACACAAAGTTACAGCAGATCAGTTTACAAAAGCAGGTCATGCAAAAAGGTGTTTTCCTCAGTACTTCAGAAGATGTTATTGTAGTTATTTAATAGATGTTTTCACTTCACATTTAGTCATATGCAGAATTTGGTTGCTCCTGGTCAAATTACATGTATTGTTGTTTTTCTAGGGGAACATATGTACACATCCCCTACAGAGAACACACTTCTGCACACATTTGCTGTTTTTATTTATATATTTTTTGTGGCTTGCACAAAATGTATCACACACTTAATGTTTTTTTTTGTCAGTGTCTTAAGTTCAGCAGATAAATAGAAATTGTGCAATAAAATGTGCAGAAAAGTGTCATATTTAAGTGTGTTCTCTGTAGAGGATGTTTATTTATTTTCACTTAGAAAATCAACAAAACATAATTTGACCAAGGTGTCCAAACTTTTGCATACGACTGTACGTTGATAGGATATTCTGTTGTTGTATGTTGGTGTTGGAGCAGTCCAGTAGTGTTACAGCATGAGGTTCAGTCTGTCCTGCATTACTGCATGTCTTATGCAACACTTTTCCAAAGCATGGTTGCCTCACTCACCTGCTCAGAATGAGTCTTGATTTGAGAAAGCTGCAGAGTGCCTTGTGACACTCGCTGTTGAGACGAATAGCATTTCTAACAGAACTCTGGCAGCAATGTTTCCTAACAGTGTGGAACCCCACCAGTGCAGTCCAACACTGTAGTCTCCTAATCACTAAGAGGTGTACCTTACAGGTGTAATGAGTCATTCTTTTTCTCAAAGTATGATTTAGAATAGCATTGATCGTAAAAGAGCGGAACATTTGAATTTCTGCATTGGTTAAAAGTCAGTGCTCACAGTTTCACAGTTCTGAAAAGCCTGCGCTCCGTATATGAACGATCTGTACATAACACTGATACACAAGGTTGTGAAGTTGGCTAAAAGTGCCGCTGTTCAACTGTGCCAGATAGATGTCTTGCTTTCATTTAGATTGCATGAATTTGCAGAGGTGACGATGAAGAATGGAGCAGGATGTGCTGCACTGAACCCAAACGAAGCTCTCTATTTGGAAAAACACACGGAGCGCAGGCTATACTGAACTTGAACTCAGAAAACACAGCAGCTCAGGGCCTCAGTGCCTCTGTAGCACAGCCACAGTATCATTACTGTGAGAGACTGTAAATATTTTCCATTCTCTGAAATATGTAGGCCTTTTTTTTTATTTTTTTTACACAACCCGCCATATTATCTCACGGGCCCCAGGTTGAGAATCATAGTAGACACTGCAGATGTTTTCTATGTTTTTTTGATCATCTCATATTTTTATACCCGATATTTTTACTTTCAGTGCGTTATAATATTTCTTAAAGAAGCTTGAATCTCTGAATCAAATTGCTAAATCTAATCGCAGTTTAGTGTATCAAATTGAATTAAATCATTCTTTATTTTCATTTTCAAAAAATGCTTTTGAATCGAGTCGAAAATCAAACAATTTTGTATCAGATCTTTTTACTGTCAGTTCAATATTTACACTCCTCCTATTTCCTATGTTGGAAAATCCGGGGTACTATGCAAAACATTATTATAGTGATGAAAGTTTCTCATCGTGTAAACTAAGGTAACCCGTTACTGCTGCCCATCACTCTGAACTAGCAGTAACGTCCCATGAATGCATTATGGGTATTCCGTGAGTGCTGTCGCTTGTACATTACCTGTTGTGGGCATTGTGGGATTGTAAGAGTTCACTAATAGTGTGCTGTGTAGTAGACTTGGGCATTTTCATGCTATTTTCATTACAGTGTCAACAATCTTGACCAGCTGTATTATTTTAGCATTATTAATATGTTATTGAACTGTTAAACAGCAGCTTTGCCATTTAATTGATATTATAATTGAATAGAGTCCAGATTCAGACAGGCGCTCTCAAGCAGATATACTCTCAGCCCCAGTGATGTCATGTGCATGTGCACTCTCTGCCACAGTGGCAGAAGTGGCCCAGAGGCATATTAACATCTGGCTGCTTCTGCTCAGCAAGTTGAAAGGAATCTTAAAACAGTATCATAATCTTAGTTTTCTTTTTCTGTCTCAGTAATCATACCACTTAATCCATTTACCATACAGAACATGGCTAGAGAATTCCATTTTATGTTTTGTTCATTAGTTTCAACTGTAGCCTGTTTACTTTTTCTGCTAATAAACCCGACATAATGTCTTATTATCGTGGTAGGTTTTGTTTTGTACGTTACCATATTATTTAATTCCATTATTATCAGTGTGATGAAGGTAAAATCTGTTCAGTGTACGCGGTTCGCTGTTTGCGTGCATTGACGTCATCAATAGGCTGGCGGTGCATGTCAAGCTGAAAGTGCATGTCTACAGCCAGACACAAGCATGTTTAACAGTGTGAAAGGAAGCTGTCTACAAGTCAATCAGCCATTATCAGTGTTCACTAAAAACAGCAAATACAGATGTGAGTGTTTAAGATGGGACGTGTTTACATAGTAATACTAACGTGTCATGTTAGGCTTTAACAGCAGTCACTGATTCTCATGGTCTTAATTTTCACTTTCACTCCGATAGGCCTCTAACAGTGGTCATCAGTTATTATTGATTAATTAAAATACAGCTGTCCAGTGACAGGCTCATTTTCTTTATTCATTATTCACTATTGTATATTCATTGTCCTTCTTTATTCTGTATTCATATTGCTATTGCTGTGTTATTGGTTTGCTATCTGGTGTTGGCCAGAGGACGGTGGGTTCAGCTTTTGAGTCTTGGTTCAGCTCAAGATTTCTTACTTTTGTTCTTAGGGAGTTTTTTCCTGCCAATGTAGCCCTTGTCTTGCTTATGTGGGGCCTGGACCCGCATTTTCTGCAAAGCTGTTCTGTGACAACACTTTTCATAAAAAGCACTATCCAAATAAATTTAAATTTAATTGAATTGAAAGAAGTGGTTCTCAGGCAGTGGAGAAAGTTTCTTTGAAAAATATACGAAAAGTATGCTCAAAGCATTTGATTGCAGTGACCGCTGTACTTTGTATGTCTTGCTGAAGTGACAATTATGATGATTAGCATTCATTATATTTATATTATGAAACATAATACCATCTACCAGGACATAGCCTAAGTTTCATTGAACTTTGACCCCTGTGTTGACTCCTGCCCGTGGCGTGTGTGCAGGTGTGACAGTGACACAAGTGCTCCAACCATCCGTATCGTCCCTCTCCACGAGCGCTGGGACCTGTTGGAAGCTTGCGCGGAGCTCCTGAACACACAGTGGCAGCGCAGCATGGGAGCAAGGCTGCACAGCCTCCGCCAGTCGAGTAACAACTACCCTGTGAATCTCCTCCTGCTAGAGGACGAGAAGCTGATTGGTCAAGCCCGCGTGTCGCGAGTGCTGGGCAGCAGGAGTCTGTTTGTGGAGTCTGTGGTGGTACAACCACAGTTGAGGGGGAAGGGGTACGGGCGGGCTCTGATGGAGGGTGTAGAACGTTACGCTCAAGGCAGGGGCTGCACCCGCCTCTGCCTCACCACCCATGACAAGCAGCACTTCTATGCCCACATGGGCTTCGTCCCGTCTCGGCCCGTCCAAAACGTGGGCACACTTGCCTCCTTAATGCCCGTGGAGCTACTGCACAAGTTCTGCAGGACACCCGAGAACGAGGGAGCTGGACAGAGGGAGAAAAAAAGGAGAGATGAGGCTGGCACAACACCTAAAGTTCCTCCTCCACCTCCTGCCCCTCCTCTTCCACCTCCTCCTCCACTCGTCCCACCTCTTCTGTCAAAATCTCCCTCGTTTCCTGCCTCAAGTCCCCACCTGTCCTCTTCTCTTTCTCCTTCCCTTTTTTCACCTCCTCCACCTCCTCTCTCTTGTCCTCTCCCTCTCTCCTCTCCTCCTTCTGTTTCCCCACCTGTTCTGCCTCCTGCTCCTCCTCCCCCCACCTCCTCATGGACCCCCGTTGATCAGACGTTGGAGCAGACACCATACACGGATATCCGAGGACTGCCCGTCTTCTGGATGCACAAGGACATCTGATACGGTCATTACCCCAGCCCAAAGATTAAACGTCTCTCAAGTTTTGAACTCTTTCATGTCTCAGGGTATTTTTTCATAGGAGCCAAAATGGACTTCTTTAATTTATCTGTACAGATTCAATCAGAACACTGAAACAACCTGAATGTGCCTTAAAAACAAACAAAAAATATTTTCAGATATTTTATTCAAACACTTTGGATTTACTGTAATCATGTTGACTCTGAATCACATATCACTGCGGCTGTTTGCCTAATTTTTGTTTTAATTAAAATAGTACTAACTGTTCTCGTGTGTCTTGTCGTAGAGTCTTCGTTTCTTTTCACTTCCTATCTGTTTAAAGGGATGAGGGGGTGGAAAATGGCATGTGAAAAAAAAAAAAAACATACATAAACGTACATAAAACCTCAACAGTGTTAAAAGTGGACCTAATGGGGGAAAAATAAAATTTAAGATAAATGTAAGATATGGCCACCCCTTCCAGAAAAAACACAGAAATAAACATGAATAAACACATGGTTTTTGCAAACTTCATATGTTAGAAAATGTGATCCCATGTGAAAACATTCATATGGAAAACACGTGATCACTTGTTTTTGCACACTTCACATGTGAATTATATGTGACTTTTCTGTAAGGGTTTAAAGGATGAGGCTGGAATCCTGGGTGCTCCCTAAACACAGACTGTTTTTGTTACTGTACTTTTAAGGCTGATATATGTAAATGACCTCTTCTGATTGGCTGCCATGTATTGTGCCTCATTCCAAAGCAGTCCAGTCTAAAACACTCCTTATAATTTTAGTGTGAACAGGCGGGGCTAAATTACTGTAGAATTAAAAGGTAAATGTATCAGTATGTAATGAATTGGTTCTCATGACATCATAAAAAGTTCAAAAAACGGCTGATGATCAGTTTAGTTTCAATATGTGGCCTGAATGGACTGTGGAGTGAACTTTTCACTCACACTATATGTCACAGTATGTTGTTTTTTTTTTTGTTTGTTTTTTTTTCAGACATCTGATCATTTGGAAGAGACAAAAAAGAACCAGTAGTGCTACATTTAAAAAAAATACCATCAAAAAATGTTTTTATTCAATATTTTGATGCACTAAATCCAGTTAAATAGGACAGTAATAATTGCTGTCTTTATAATGAAATATGTAGTTTGTCAGTGTTCTAAAAGTAAAGTATATAAACAAAAATAAACGTTTTTAGAAATAAATTAAGTCAGTGGTACTGATCCTCACATAGAGACAAATCACTGTATCATTTTACACTGATATTAATTTGGTTGGATGTTTAAATAAAGCCCTGTCCAGGGTGTTTCCTGCTTTCTGCCCGATGACCTCTGGGATAGGCTCCAGCAGCCCCTGTGACCAAGAGAGATAAGCAGCTTAGATAATGTGTGTGTGTGTGTGTGCGTGCGTGCGTGCGTGCGTGCGTGTGTGTGTTTTAATAAAAACATTAAATTCAAATGCACAGTAATCAACTGACTTGCAAGAGAAAAATCGTGTAGCCTTTGTTGAGCACTTTAAAGGTTTAAATTGAGTAAAAGTACAAATATTTCACTTCACTAATACTTGAGCAAAGTACAAATCCTCCAATAATACCTAAATATAGATATAAATACAATTACTCAAGTGATTGTGCCCTGACTTCCAGCTAGATCACGCATTTTACTTTGAATTCAAAGCTGATTTCTTATCTGAGACTATATTAATGCTTTTTCTAGTAATATTATATTACAGTGATGCTGTAATGACTCATGTTCTGAACATTACATTCTGAAATATTTTGAATGAATTTCAACACAGTGAATATTAAACTTTGTCATATTTTAATTAAGTGGCTACTTACTGAGTGCTTTCAATTCAGAAGTAATCATGTCCATACTTTACTCCCTGTGAAGGCTCTGCCCTCCTCACTGAAAACTTGGAAGTGTTACAAGGCACTGATTTACTATGTGCCCCATTTATTTTCTGTTGTTGCAGAATTGATGACACCTTTAAGTAAACAATTGTTTACTTAATTATCATGTTAATGTGATTTGTACTATAAGAGTAATTTATATATATGAGTTATTAACTCAGTAGAAAAGTTAATAAATTCCTAGGTGAACTCACAATGTTTTTCCTGTGGGTAATAAAACTGCAAAGAATTGAAAAAAGTAAAGAAAAAAGTGTTCTTTGATTGGTTCATCAGTGATGTCTGTTTAGGACTGCCCTCATAACAAGCCTTTGGAAAGGTGCTACAAGATTCCTACAGTAAGAAACCCATTAAAGATGTTTCATTTATGGCATTTGGACTAGTGTGTAGTTCTCCTGTAAAGTTGTCATTGCAGAGATACAAAGTTTTCTTCCGACAGCAGCGATATGATGAATATCTAAAAAACTACTTTAAACGTGCATTTTGTCTGTACTTTTTGCTATAAGACATGAAATTGAAACTTTGCTTGTCCTGCAGGAGGAGCCATCATGTTTTTGGGGTCAATCACCCTCCTGACCTTCAGCATGTTTCTCAGCAGCCCTGTTGCAGGGCTGGGGTCAGTTGGGGGGCAGGGTTTCTCAGTGGTGTGGAACATGCCTACTGCAAGATGCGAGCGGCGTTTTGGCGTCTCACTGCCCCTACAGCAGTACGGCATCATGCACAACCCGGGACAGAGGTTTTTGGGTGAGAACATCAGCCTGTTTTATGAACGGCGTCTCGGCCTGTACCCCTACATCAACCGGCAGGGCGAGCAAGTGAATGGTGGAATCCCTCAGCTGGGCTTTTTGGAGGCTCACTTGTTGGTCAGTAAAGGACAGCTACAGGTCCTTATGAGGAGGAACTTCAGTGGACTGGCTGTGTTAGACTGGGAGGCGTGGCGACCTATGTGGAGCAGAAACTTTGGACACAAACGGGTCTATCGCAGGCTGTCTAAAGAGTTGGTGTGGCTAAAATATCCAGAGATGTCAGAGAGGAAAGTGACTTCAGTGGCCCGCATGGAATTTGAGCAAGCAGCAAAAGATTTTATGGAGGAAACGCTGCGGCTTGGCCTCCGTGAGTGCCCCAAGGGATTATGGGGGTTCTACGGTTTCCCCAGTTGCTATAACGATCATGGGGCAAAGCATGAGGGGTACACAGGGCAGTGCAAACCTGGAACTGAGTCGAAGAATGACAGACTGAAGTTTCTATGGCAATATTCCACTGCCTTGTACCCGAGTGTGTATGTGCGGCGCGTGTTGGCAGGAAACCCCAACACACGCCTGATGGTGAGACACCGCATACTTGAGGCACTACGAGTGGCATCCCAGCATGCACCTGGTTCTCCGCCACCTCCTGTTATGCCCTACGCAAGAGTGGCCTTCATACGAACTCTGAAGTTTCTAAAAAAGGTAACCACTCACGCTGTTCTGCACACAGTCTTGAAGAAATGTGATCCAATATGTTTATTTAATTCTAGTCAAAACAGCTGTTAAGTATAAGTAAGTTCTTAATTTTTCTGGAGATATTTCTGAGAAGATATAGGATATATTTCCATAAGAAATGGAAAGTCAAGCCAGTGCTGGTATCAAACGGAAAAGAAAAAGTGGCATCGTACCATTTCTAATTTTAGACCAAAAGGATCCAAGAAGACAATAGCTGTACTTTAGGAATTCAGAAACCCTTGAGAAGTGCTTTAGGAGATTTTGGACTACCTCAAGTTGGTGCTTTTGCTTCTCTTGGGGTCATTATGTAACTGAAGTGTGTGTTTTTTTGTGTGTGTCACTGCAGACGGACCTGGATTTCACAATTGGAGAAAGTGCTGCTTTAGGTGCTGCTGGAGTGGTGCTGTGGGGCAATCTGGCTTTCGCCAAATCCAAGGTAAGAGAGAGACCCCTCTACCAAATTCATTCAAAGTCAGAGTAAAAACACATTTCATACTTTTCACTGACTTTAGACTAAAGTTCTTTTGCCTTGACCCTGTAACTTAATTATGTTTATTTTGCTAAAAGAAATGATTGAGCATTCTATTTCGTCACTACCCAAACAATCATAACACAACCGAAACTTAACCAAATGCTTGAGTATTGATTGTTTCTGTAATGATAATTTTAACTAATTTTTTCTTCTGCATTCTGTTTTTTTTATTTTGTAATGTTCAACAATGGCAACATAGTACAGTATAAACTAATATAAAACAGTTTGGTTTCTTACACCCTTTTCCTTAAAGACCCGTGCTTGTCTCTCTACTCCACTCAGAGCAATATAATAAAACAGTGATAATAAACATAAGTACAAAAACAGATGGTAGATAAATAAGGTACCTTGGTGGATAGAAAATAAAATTGACAAAACTTGCAAAATTACATACACATATATATATATATATATACATACATACATACACATACATACACAGTACCAAACCCTATTAATAATAATGTTAGTAATTAACTCCATTATAGTATCATTAATACACCATTTGTACATCAGTCACATTATTTTTATTATTATTCTTTTATTTATCTGTTCATTCATCTTCTTTTTTTAAATAGTCATCCTGAAGGGACCTAAGTCAATCTTGCCTCAACCCTCAAATTATATCCCTGACACCAGGGCGGTAGCTGGAGCATCGCATAGGAATCATATGATGTATTATAAAGAAAGAGGTCAGATGTCTCTCACTCAAATGTTTGTAAACCTTCAAAGTATGTTATAAAAGGTAACCAAGTGTCAAAAAACTTATCTTTTGAGCCTCTTATTGTGAACTTAATCTTTTCCATTTGAATGTGAGCCATAACTTCATTGATCCATCTGTTATGTGTGGGAGGGGTAGACCCCTTCCAGTTCAAAAGAATTAGGCGTCTCGCTAGCAGGGTGGAGAAGGCAATAACATGACACTTGTCTTTAGTTAGAGATGATCCTTCAGGTCGTGTGCCAAATAAAGCCAGTAGGGGATGTGGTTTAATTACGACATTGTAGATGTCATTAAAAGACTTAAATATACTCCTCCAGAACTCCTCCAGTCTAGGGCACGACCAAAACATATGGGCTAAGGTGGCTGGCGTATGTTTCCATCTATTACATGCCGAGCTGATATTAGGAAATATTTTAGCCAATTTGAAATTAGTGAAATGGAGCCTGTGGAGTATTTTAAATTGTATCAACCCGTGTCTTGCACAAGGGGATGATGAATGCACCTGGTGAAGAATGCCCTCCCATTCAGCATCTGAAAAATCTATAGCCAAATCCTGCTGCCACGCAACCCTAAGATGCTCTAACATCTGAGGATTTATAGAGCTAAGAGTAAAATATATATGGGAGATAGTGCCACGTTTATTTGGATTTAAGCTCAACAATGTATCAACTATTGACAATGGAGGTAAACTAGGGAAGGAGCTAAATGCTTTTTGAGTAAAGCTCCTTATTTGAAGATACCTGAAAAAGTGGCTTCTCGGTAGCTTAAATCTTTGCGAAAGTTCGGCGAAAGATAGGAATAAGTTATCTGAAAACAAATCTTTTAAGCTTCTAATTCCATTCTTGTACCACATGCGAAAAGCTGAGTCAGAATAGGAAGGTAGGAACAAGTAGTTTGACACAATAGGACTCAAAACTGAAACCGATTGTAACCCAAAGTGTTTCCGGAATTGGGACCAAATTTTTAAGGTATGGGTGACTACAGGATTAAGGAAACGAAGAGAAGTACCTCCAGTTGTGGGGAGAGAAGAGCATACCAGAGAGCTTAAAGAAAATTGGCTGCAAGACCTCTCTGCCCGCACCCACATTGGAATATAAGGGGAGACATCCAAAAAGCTATCTTTTGAATATTGCATGACCAGTAGTGAAATAAGAAATTTGGCAGTGCCATCCCACCCTGCCGCCTTGGCCTCTGTAAAAAGGTTTTCTTAATACGGCAACCTTTATTCCCCCACAGGAATGCAGTAACCAATTTATCTACATTGTTAAAGAAACTTTTTCTAATAAAAACAGGGATATTGGAAAATAAGTATAGAAAACGGGGTAGAATTGTCATTTTAACTAAATTAACTCGCCCTACTAAAGAGAGTGGTAGTGCGGACCATCTAATAAAATCTTTCTTGGTACGATCATAGAGGGGGACAAAGTTAGAGTCAAAGAGAGCATCGAGGGAGCGTGCGACTGTTATGCCCAGATATTTAAATCCTCTGTACTTTAGCTTAAAAGGCACGATAGAAGAGGGTAATACATTAGTTAGTGAGTTGATAGGGAAATACTCGCTTTTTTGTAAGTTTAGTTTGTAGCCAGAGAATTTCCCAAAGTTCTCCAAGATAGAGAGAATATGGGGGACTGATGACAGGGGATTTGAGACATAAAGAAGGAGGTCGTCAGCGTACAGCGAGACCTTGTACTCAATATCCTTACGGCGAATACCTTTGAAGTCAGAACATTGTCGCAGAGCCACGGCCAATGGTTCTATAGCTATAGTGAACAACAAAGCAGATAGGGGGCATCCTTGCCTCATGCCTCGTTCTAAGTGGATATACTGCGAACAGAAGTTGTTAGTACATACAGATGCTACCGGGGACGTATATAACAATTTGATCCAAGAAATAAACTTAGGAGGGAAACCAAACTTTTCAAGAGTAAGGAAGAGATAAGGCCATTCCACTCTATCAAAAGCCTTTTCCGCGTCTAAAGAAACTATTATTTCTTGCGCTTCCAAAGGAGATTCTGTATAAATTACATTAAATAAGCGCCTCAAATTACTGAAAGAGTTGCGTCCCCGTATAAAGCCCGTTTGATCCATCCAGATAATTGAGGGTAAAACGATTTCAAGTCTCAATGCAATAATTTTAACTAATTTTGAGCGGAACTCAGAAACACTAGCCAATACATGAGTAGAAAACGTGGCTTTGAACAGTTGTTGAGATGTAAAATCATACTTTTTTTCATGGAAACACAGAAAAGTTTTCTTAATTGCAGAAAATATGTGTTCCAGTAGTGACAGTTCTTAATGTTACAGACTGATTTTCAGACTTTGGGACACATTCACTGCGAAATAATGGAATCTAACTGCTCACCATGTGGCCATGAGGGACAGGGATGCAGTCTCACGTCCTGCTCTAAAATGCAGGGGTGTGGCTAAAATAAGGCTCTGCCTATGGACTAAAACATTTCAGTAGTGACATGAAAATGTGGGACAGCATTTTTCAGTAACGTTTTTTTTATTTAAAAATTAAACTCATGATAAATGTAAATCTTTCAACTTCAGTTTAAAAGAAATTTTAAAAATCTTTTGTTAAACAACATTGAAAAACAAAAAAAGGTAAATAATTATTTTTACAAGTTGAAATTGGGGGATTAGGGTTTTGGACAGACACCTCCCAACACAACATATCCTATAAATTATTATTTTGTATATATTTAGCTTATTACCATCTCAACTAATGTATTTAAAGTAGATCATAACATAACATAAGCCTTGTAAATATCTGAAGTTTAAATACTTAATTTACTTAACTAACTTATTAATATGTATTTAATACTTTATTTAATACTTAAAGTCTTAATAATTGTTATTTTAAATAGTTTTTTCTGCAGGACTACAGTTTGAATGAATTCGGTAGAGCTCTCTGTATGTGTCCGAAAATACCAAACGTTTTTGATTTTGCAGGTTTTTTTTTCTGGGAGGCAGTTTAGGATGAAATACATTGAAACACACACAGCACTTATGAACCTTTTACTATATAGGTCATACACAGGTATTCACACTCATCATTTTATATACAAAACGGTGGACAAATTAAAGTCCTGAATAAAGTATCATGGGCCACCACAAACCACTAGAACAGCTTCAGTGTTCCTTGGTACTGTCTCTGGAACTGAGGGATGAAATAACCGGAGGTCCAAACTCTCCTATAGATGTTCAGCTGGATTGAGATTAGTGACTGTGAAGGCCACAGCATATGATTTGCATCATTTACATACTCACCATTCAGTGACCCCTAATGCTCTGTAAATGGGGGTACTGTCATCCTGAAAGAGACCACTGCCATCAGCATAAAAATGTGTCATGGGATAAAGGTGATCTGTCAGAAAACTTTGTATTGATTTGCAGTGACCTCTAATGGCGCTTTTCCACCGATGGTGTGGCTTAACTCAACTCAACTCGACTCAACTCTGCTCGACTCTACTTACTTTTGGTACCAGCTACTTCATTTTTCACTGCACTTTACCCTCTCAGTGTAGCTGGTCATCATAGTGACGCCACATGAAACTGCCATGACGAGAAGAGAAAAACAGGAGGGTTTAAAAAATACTACATCAGAATTCAGACGACAAGACGATTCTGGTTCCTCAAAGGTGATGCAAGAGGGCACACTAACCTGGTAGCTAATGTTAGCATATGTGTTTAGGGTGATAGTGATGATTCTCTCCGACCAATCAGCAGTCTGCATTTTTTTCAAGTCACCTTTTGGTATCAGCTTAGCTCACTTAGAACCTCAATAGAGATGATACCAAAATTGGTACCAGGGGAAACCAAAAAAAGGCAAGTAGAGCTGAGTCGAGCTGAGGCGGTACCATGCGTCAGAAAAAGTGGCCTAAGTGGAAAAGTTGACACCCTTCTCTCAATTGAAGTTGCTATTGAGTTCATTAATACCAAGCACCAAACCACAAACCACTAGAACAGCTTCAGTGTTCCTTGGCACTGTCTCTGGTCTCTGGAACCGAGGGATGAAATAACTAAGGGGAAAAGTTGACACCCTTCACTCAGTTGAAGTTGCTATTGAGTTCATTAATACCAAAACCAAATAAATAACGCAGCAGCGCAACAGCCTCTGCAGTGACCTGACTGTTATCTACCATCACAACAAACAGTGAAGTCTGCACACCATCAGTGCTACTTTCGGTTCCAATGAAATGATGTCCAGCCGCACTGAACAGTGTTTTGCTCACTCACCCACACTAATTACTGTAAAGCCTATGCATAGTTATTCACACAATGTGTATGTGCATATGTGCAAATGTCACAATGTGTTTCACCCTAAATGGCCCCCCATATCTCTCTCTCTCTGTCTGTTACTCTCTTATTCTCTCTGTCTCTCTCTCTTCAGCGTCAATGTCTTCTTCTCAGGGACTATATAAACTCGGTTTTAGGGAAGTACGTGGATGCTCTGCGTCGGGGTGTGTCGCGCTGCAGTGAGAATGTGTGCCAAGCTAACGGTCGATGCGTTAGACGCGACCCTCACTCCGATCACCTGATCCCACAGCTGGACACCACGAGTGAATTTGACCCTGACTTAAGGTCAGCATTCAAATGTGTGTGTTATGAAGGGTGGAGCGGAGAGCACTGCGAGAAGACCACCACACACCTGAGTGAGGAGCAAGAAACAGCTGACCGGAATCACCAACAAACTCCAGCTGTTACTGTGATATAATATGATTGTTCATGATATTATACAGTGGCATGCAAAAGTTTGGGCACCCCGTTCAAAGTTTCTGTTACTGTGAAAAGCTAAGTGAGAAAAAGATGACCTGACTTCCAAAAGACATGAAGTTAAAGACACATTTCTTCAACATTTTAAGCAAGATTACTTTTTTATTTCCATCTTATACAGTTTCAAAATAACAAAAAAGAAAAAGGGCACAAAGCAAAAGTTTGGGCACAATGCATGGTCAGTACTTAAGTAACACCCTCTTCGGCAAGTATCACAGCTTGTAAATGCTTTTTGTACCCAGCTGAGAGTCTTTCAGTTCTTGTTTGGGGGATTTTCAGCAATTCTTCCTTGCAAAAGTCTTATAGTTCTGTGAGATTCTTGGGCTGTCTTGCATGCGCGGCTCTTTTTGAAATCTGTCAACATATTTTCGATGATGTTTAGGTCGGGTGGACTGTGAGGGCCATAGCAAAACCTTCAGCTTGAGGTAGTCTATTGTGGATGTTGAGGTGTGTTTAGGATCATTATCCTGTTGCCATCCTTTTTTCACCTTCAGCTTATTTACAGATGGTGTGATGTTTGCTTCCAGAATTTGCTAGTATTTTCCCCGTGCCACTGACTGATCCACCCCCGTAGAGAAGTGCTCCCTTAATGTAATTCTGCACCTTTTTTCTCCAAACATACCTTTGCTCATGGCAGCCAAAACGTTCATCTTAACTTCATCAGTCGGCAGGACTTGTTTCGAAATGCATAAGGCTTTTTTAGATAGTTCCTTTGCAAAGTTCTAATGCTGAATTTGGTGGTAAAGACACAGAAAAGATTTTCTTCTGATGACTCTTCCATGAGGGTCATATTTGTGCAGGTGTCTCTGCACAGTAGAACAGTGCACCACCACTCCAGAGTCTGCTAAATCTTCATTTTCATTTGAATTTCTCTGTGATCACACAAGCAGTTCTCTCGGAAAGTTTTCTTGGACTTCCAGACCTCAACTTGACCTCCACCATTCACGTTATTTGTCATTTCTTAATTACATTATGAACTGAGGAAACAGCTACCTAAAAATGATTTGCTATCCTCTTATAGCCTTCTCCTGCCTTGTGGGCATCAGTCTTTTTAATTTTAAGAGTGTTGGGCAGCTGCTGAGAAGAGCCCATGGCTGCTGATTGTTGGGACAAGGTTTGAGGAGTCACCTGGCCTTTCCTAACAATGATTGTGAATAAGCTATAGCCCTAGCAAGCTAATGAAATGGTAAAAGTTCTCAAAAGTATCAAATCTCATAAAGTGCCCAAACTTTTCCTGGTGCTCCTTTCCTTTTCAGTCTAAAATTGTACAAAACAAAAGTTAATGCACTAATCTTGCGTAAAAGGTTAAAAAGAATGTTTTATCTTTATGCCATTTGGAGATCAGTTCATCTTCTACTCACTTACCTATTCACAGTAACAGAAATTTTGACCAGGGAGACCCAAATTTTTGTTTGTCGCTGGACGTTATTATTAATCAAACTGATCACCTTTTAATAAATCATTTAGAGCATGAATATTTGTTTATCATTCTTTATTTATGCAAATCACTGGTTCGGTTCAAACACAGCATGGTCCTTATGTACATGTTTCATAAAATGTAGTCATTGAATAGGCAGTTAAGACCCCCCAGATGTATTTTACTCCACCTGCAGTGGGGTTCAAAAGTCTGAGACCACACTGAAAACCTGGGAATAAGCAAATAAACATTTTACTGGATACAAATTCTGAAATTCCTGTTAAAGTTTCAGAACATATAATAACTTTTTACTCAGATTGTTTTGCTAATTAGAAATGAATGTAAAATAGAGGCATTTTCACTAGTGGTCTCAGACTTTTGGACCCCATTGTATTTTTTACTGATATTAAAAACCTCTAATTTTCATCAGCTACCCTGCTCAGATTTTAAGAGGCACCTTAAAATTGCTTGCAGTTGAAAGTACAAGTTAACATGGCCAAAAAACATACCAAACAGCATAAACAATAGTAAAAATGCAAATGTAATATAAACAGACTAGCATATATAGGATAAAATGGTATATATACACTCACAGGGCACTTTATTAGGAACGCCTCTACACCTACTCATGCAACTATTAAATCAGCCAATCATGTGGCAGCAGTGCAGTGTATAAAACCATGCAGATACAGGCCAGCAGCTTCTGGTAACATTCACATTAGCCATCAGAATGGGGAAAATGTGATCTCAGTGATTTTGACCGTGGTGTGATTGTTGGCGCCGGACAGGCTGGTCTGAGTATTTCTATAACCGCTGATCACCTGGGATTTTCATGCACAACAGTCTTTAGAATTTCCTCAGTATGGGGCACTAAAGAAATAAACATCCAGTGGGCAGCAATTCTGTGGATGCCTTGTTGATGAGAGAGGTCAAAGGAGATTGGCTAAACTGGTTCAAGCTGACAGAAAATCTATGGTAAGTCAGATAACCACTCTATACAATTGTGGTGAGCCGAAAAGCATCTCAGAATGCACAACGTGTGAAGCCTTGAGGCATACGGGCTACAACAGCAGAAGAGCATGTTGGGTTCCACTCCTGTCAGCCAGGAACAGAAAGCTGAGGCTGTAGTGGGCACTGGCTCACCCAAACTGGAACAACAGCCTGGTCTGATGAATCTCAATTTCTGCTGAGGCAACCCAGATGGCAGGGTCAGAATTTGGTGCCAACAGCATGAATCCATGGACCCAACCTGCCTTGTGTCAACAGTCCAGGCTGGTGGAGGTGGTGTAATGGTGTAATACCAATCTATCATCGCCTGAATGCACAGCCTATTTGAGTATTGTAGCTGACCATGTGCAGCCCTTCATGACCACAATTAGACTTTCTTCTAATGGCTACTTCCAGCATGATAATGCACCATGTCACAAAGCAGAAGTCGTCTCAAACTGGTTTAATGAACGTGACAATGAGTTCAGTGTTCATCAGTGGCCAGTCACCATTCTGAACCCAACAGAACACCTTTGGCATGTGGTAAAACAGAAGATTCGCAGCATGAAAGTACACCTGAAAAATCTGAAAAATTAGGAATTGCATGATGCTGTCATGTCAACATAGACCAGAATCCCAATGAACGTTTCCAAAGGAAAGGAATGTTTCCAACATCTTGTGGAACACATGCTACAAAGGACGGAGGCTGTTTTGAGAGCAAATGGAGGCCCTACCCTGTATGAGTGTATTGATCCTAATAAAGGGCTCAGTGAGTGTAGCTGTATCATTCAAGGCCTGAGGAAATGCACAAATATCAGGCTTTATAAGCAAACCATACAGTTCATAGAAAGTGTTGCTGGTTTTATTTGATGAATTCCACAGATTTTTCAAAGTGTCTGTATAATTGGATCATTGAGGTGAAAATAAAGTCATTCAGAGTGGTTTGGTGTGAAATGGCTCATTGTAGAGAAATGTATCATCTCTAGATTTCTTTACAGTGGTGGTCATAGGGAACCAGGGGTCACAGTGCCTACCACGCAAACATAGACATTTTATTTACTACCCAAACTCACCAGTGAACACAAGTCTTCTGGGTTTTTATATGTAAAGTTGATAATGGCAAAACAGTTATAAATCTGGATATTGTTTTGTCTTGCATGTACCTCATGAATGTCATGAAGACATTTTTGGCCAAAATCTCTCAAATTCGAAAAAAACACCATTATAAAGTGATGTCTCAGGCATCAGGCAACACTGACCATTTTGTGTAAAAACAAGAAAGAACAATTCTGACTCTATATTTTCCAAGAATGAAGCATCTCACATCAAACCACTCTGAATGACTCTGTTTACATCTTAATGATTTAATAATGCAGAATTTAAAAAAGAAAAATCAGGGGAATTCTCCTTTAAAAGAATATAGTCATAGTCATAGCTCACTAATAGGTATTAGTGGAGCAAGTAAAACTAACCCTGCTCTAGCCCATCAGTGTAACTCATGGGCTAGAGCAGGGTTAGTTTTACTTGCTCCACTAATACCTCCTGCCTGGCATCTATAAAGCTCAGTTTTGCTGCATAGAGGTCAGTTGTTCCACATCACATAACAGTGGCCCTCAATACATCAATTTTTGTGACAGAGGCAAAGTTTTCTAAATAAGAAGGACCCTTTTATATGAGATAATAAGCTCAAACTTGGTAACGTTAGTCCACATTCTAAACCAAAAACCGAAATCAGGTCAGCAAAATTCATCTCTTAATTCCAGCTGCTTGATAAAAAACGGATCTTTTTGGCCAGATTTTAATTGAGGATATGTAACACATATGTAAACATGCATTTCATTACTAATGCATCGGTAAGCTTGATTTATAGTGTCACATTATTTTATGTTATAGAATATAAGTAATTCTATTTTTGAATTACCCTGTCACCGTTGTGAATCTGGCCACCTGTAGTCCGTCAACTTCTGCTTTAAAGACACAAAATCACATCTTTTCTCCAGTATGATTAAGTAATTCTACACGCAACAGTGTAGTCAGTGGGCATTCCTTGTTGCAGACATGTTTCTGCGCAGAGCCTGGAGCTCCTGAAGGAGGAGCGAGAGTTCCTCAGCTGTTTCCTCCCTGTGCCGCACCACCTCTGATAGGCTGGTTAGGGCTCTGCTCTGCTGAACTAGAAGAGTCACACAAACAAACATACAGATATTATTAACTTGCACTGGACTCAACTGTTAAACCACATCAGCTATTGAGTTACTCTGACAGCTTATATCCAACTACAACCACTAGAGTTGCTCATCTGTTAGGGCTGTGAGTGTTTGAATCCAATCTGACAGTATTTTCTGTTATATCCAGCTGTAGTGATAGTGTAGGGTGTATATAGTTGTATACTAAAGTTTGGGTGTCCCTGGTCAAATTACATGTCTTGTTGAAGTGAAAATAAGTCAAAACATCATTGACAAAGAAAACACATTTCAATACACAATTGCTGTTTATTTGCTGAATTTAACATTGAAAAAAAAAAACACAAAATGTAGCCTGTGTAAAAGTGAGGGCACATTTTATATTTTAGGTTTTATTTTTTTCCAAGAAGTTAAATAGAGCAAATAAATAGAATTTTCCATATTTAAGTTTGTTCCCAGTACAGGATGTGTTAATTTATTTTCAATTAGAAAATAGGTGGTGAGTGGTCACAGTGTTTAAAAACTCCAGCAGCACTGCTGCATCTGGTCCACTCTTACCAGCAGAACACATACTAACACACCACCACCATGTCACTTGCTCTGTGGTGGTTCTGTGGGGATCCTGACCATTGAAGAACAGTGAAAGGGGTGTAATAAAGTATGCAGATGGACTACAGTCTGTAATTGGAGAATAACAAAGTGAACCATATATATATATATATGTTAATTGGAGCTGATAAAATGGACAATGAGTGTAGAAATAAGTAGGTGTACTTAATGAAGTGTCTGGTTGATGCATGTGTGTGTGTGTGTGTGTGTGTGTGTATATATATATATATATATATATGATTATGATGAATGGACCAATAGAAGTGCTGACCTCTTTAAATTAACTTGCATTAAAAGTTAGTAACATGTTTGCCTTCTCCTGTAAAGTTACCATTTAGTGCCAGATAGTTCTTGTATCCATATAGAAAGACTGAATGGAATTAATTCTTAGGCCTAATTCTTAATTATGTGTGTAATATGGATTAATATTGTAAGTGAATTAATATGTAACACAGGTGTAAAAATGTAGTAAAGCAAAGAAAGCTCATCATTACAGGGCTGTAAACAGATTAAATTAAAGAATAAACAACGAGGAAGAAAAACGATGACGATTATAAAATGGGACATTATCTCACCTAAGAAGCTGAAGATGAGGATAAGAGTGAGGAGGATGAGAATTACAGTTGCACACACCATAGAGTAGCGCCGCCTAGAGGGCGCACACACACTGCTGAGCTGATTCCAATGAGATCTTTTTTTTTGATGCCCTGTTTGAAAGACAACCGGTCTCTCCAGCATCTGAAGAGTTCCATTAGTGGATGGAGGTCGTGGACGGGGTGGTCTGACACCTGAAATAAGATAAACCATAAACAATATATTGTGATTTGTTGTGTGTGAGAGTGTTAGATTTACCATTTCCAGAGGTCTCCTGCTTGAGCTAATCAGTCCTTTATTAAATTAAACCAGGTGTGTTTTTTTTTTTGTTTTTTTTTCATCACTGAGTCAGGAGAAAAAACGCACAAAAATGTGATGTGTGTATGTTGCTGTGAGTCACCCTGTAAAGCACCCTGTAAAGCATGAAATAATAATTTAAAAGTTAGAGGTGTCAGGTCAGATTTTGTTGGAGTTTTTTATAATGCACGTCATATGTCTTTGCATATTAATGTCACACATAAAGAAGAATTAGGATCATTAGGATCTCGATCCCAAGCATTACTAAGTTGTGTCCACGACCTAATTATCTTGTTTCCGTGCCTTACTAAGTCGTGGACACGCATTATTTTATTTATATGCAGAGTCATCAGGAGGGTTCCATAGAATTCTCTTTCAACACACTAGCAAACATACTCGCATCTGCTTGTTGGGGATAACAGACAAAATGTTCTTTTGCACACTGTGTGTAGTTACACATTTCCACCAGAGAGGTCTCCAAATCCCTAAATCACACATAGTGCAGCTTTAACAAACCCATGCAATGACTGGAGTACACCAAGACCAGGAATCAAACCTATGTTCTTCTAACTGTATTCTTCTAAGATATGAATAACATTTTTAAAAACAAAACGTTTATTAAGTTTTACTGTATTTACATCTATTTAAGTTTATTCCATAGTGTTTTGTACTGGCAAAACATTTGCTGCCAAGATGAACACTTTCCTCATCTGCACAGTTCTGTATAAATAACATGCCATATGAAAACCTCATTACTCAAAAAAAATATATATATCATGTGAAAACACCAGCTATTCTTCCCACTACATTGTATGAATATGTCATTATATAGATAGATAGATAATTCAGTAGTTGATTGTTGATCATTGTGATCACTGATACACTTACACACGCACATGCTGTCCAGTACCTTTGCTGTGCTGCTCTGTGTGTGTGCGGTGCAGGTCACTGATAGAGTCCACAGAGTGCAGTTCAATCTCAGTCAGGTCTTTATCACTGATGTGCACAAACGCTGGAGAAGGAGACGGAGACGACTTCACCATCACTCCTGTTCAGAGTGAGAATGAGTGTATGTGAGCACATTAGAACAAAAGAGAGAAGCTTGACATTTAACCTCCATTAATATGAGGAATAACCAGCTATAATCCAGATGTGAATTTTTTTTTAGATAAAATCCCTCTACTTTTTTGTTACAACATCAAATGATTGCTCTCTCTTGTGTCCACTGAGTGAAGAACAAAGAGCTAAATATATAAATTAACTCTTATCATTCAGCCTTTCCAACTTTAGCTAGAGTGTGGCATTACCCAAGAGAAAAAAAAAAAAACTTTTTCATATCACATTAAAAAAATCATTGCACCCCTTATTTTTCAGATTTTTTGCTGGTGCATTTTGGTGGTTCCAATTTGCTCATAAACCTAAGAAAAAGAAAATCACAATACATAGTATGTATCATAAAAAATATTAAAGTATCATGGTGTTATTTTGTTGCCATATCACCCACTCTTACTTTACAAAGTGACATTTCATGACATTTTATTTGTCGTCCAACAAATAGACACTTTAGAGCTGTCATACATCGTGAGTCATTCAAGTTCTCAACTTCTCTATGAAGTACAGAGGTAAAACTGAGCCAGACACAGCATGTCTGTTCTGAAATGCTTCATGAATATGGATCCATATATCATCCATATAACACTCAGTATACTGTGAGAAGCTCTGGGCCTGTTTGTCCTGCAGGAACTTCACATACAATAGGCCTACCACTCAAAGGTGGTACTACTCACCCACTTTTGGCAAAAATATAATATCAAGAAATTCACAATACACGTCACAATATTTATTTTTTGAGAGATCTAATCAGTCGGAGCTGAGAGAAAAAGAACCAGTAGTGCTACATTAAAAAAAAATAAAAAAACTGAATCCAATGATTTTTATTCAATATTTGGCTCACTGTGTTGCACTAAATCCAGTTAAACAGGATTCATTTTGCTCTCTTTATAATGAAACATGCAGGTGGTTAGTGTTCTACAAGTACTGATGATATACTCAGGCCTATTTGGAATGAATGAAAAACATGCTTTTCATTTAATGTTAGTACTGTAGTAATTTAGAATACTTTATTTTTAGAAAAAAAAAGGATCATAACATAAAGGCAGATACTCTAATGAGAAAGTACTAGATAATAATTACAATACTTTACCATTGCTAAAATACGGTAATGAATTTTTTTCAACTTCTTTTTAAATATAGTACTAGAAATACTGAACAGAACCTCTAAAGTGGCTGTTGGTTTCTGGGTTAAAATATGTAAATATATATTGTGTAAGTCACTGAACAAAGTGTTGTGATCAATTCAGGTATTAATGACTTAATCGATTCTATTAAACTCTATCAAACCATATTTTATCTCACCTTGGGAGTGCATCTTCATCAGTCTGTTGGACTGGTGGAGAGGTGGGGCATTTAATCCTGTTCAGAAAACTCCATAAAAACCCCCAAAGAAATGAACATTTTCTAGGAAAGCTTCAAGCTACCGTCAGGATGGTAGCCACATTAAAACTCAGCGAGTACAGAGGTTTTTGTGTTGTATCTACAGTAGAGAAAACAGTATAGGCTGTAATACGTTTGTAGTGTAGAGCATGAAGCAGTTTAGCCCTGTTTGCTTGGCCCCAGCCTGTACAGCCCAAAATTCCCGGACCCAAAATAGCTCCAGCCAAGTGGAGGCAGAGACGGATATTAATAGATTCTGGGCCAAACGGTGATTCAATTAGAATGGACAACCAACAGATACCCAATAGTTTAGTGGTGTCTGGACAGTAGGGTACAATGTGCTTTTTAAGGGATTTACAACTCAACATACTAATCTAAGTCTAAAACTGTGTAAAAAAACAATAATATAAACTCACTTAAACACACCCCAGCATGAAGTCTCTGCTTCAAGCAGTCATGGTTAAAATGAAGCACACAATCACAAAACCAAATGCTTCTTGTTGGTGGCTTTACAGTAAATCAGTGATTTAAGATCCTTATGTTAACTGAGTGGCATTACTTTTACTTGAAGATGATTTACTATAATAAGCCTGTGTGCATTTGTGAAGTCCTGTTGGTTTTCATGGAGGTCATGTCAGTTTCTTTTCTTTCAATGACACCCACAAAATCTACTTGAGTGATTACGGCTCCCCCTTGTGGAGAATACTCACTGTGCTTCAGTCCACACCTGGCTATTTCTACACAAACACACTGGCCTGCTGTACAATATTCTCCACTAATAAAAATACCCAACCACCTTTTACATCACTGCAATCGAATATGTAATTTCAGTAACACTTTATTTTGATGGTCCACTACAGATGTTCTGTAGATGCTCAGTCTGTCTTTAACTAACATTCAACTAAATATCTCGTAATGCAGCTGAACCTGAAGTTGAGTGTGATAGATTCCATTAAATCTAACCCTAAACCTAACCTTAACTTCAAGCCTAAAACCACACCTACTCCTAAACCTAATTGTTGATAATCAATAAGTAGCACCTGAAAGTTAATCCTTTGGACAATCAATCAATCAATTAAGAATCTGTAGATCATCTGTGGGGGACCATCAAAATAAAGTGAGCCATAATTTCATAATTATAAAAATATCAGGTATTGAGCCGAGCCTATATGCTGTGAGTCTAACTCAATCCAAAATACCATTTTAGTCTCACACATTAACATGCATTACTGTATGAAGAGACTGCAAAGCCACTCTGATTAAACAAATAAAACACTTTATTTTCAGTAAATAATAAAGAAGTAATGTTATATTATATTAGACAGTCTGATTCAACAATTACATACTTTATTTTGTACTAAAGTTGGCTTGATAAAGCAGTTGTAGATCGCTGTTAACTGAGATCCTAGGACTGGTTGAAGGTAATGAGTTGACTTTACTTAAAATAAAGTACTTAAAGTTAAAGGGGATATTTTAGTTTGGCTGTCTAAACTTTAATGTTGAAAATGCTATAAATGATTAAATTGTTTAAATTAAGATGTTATACATTATTAAACTGACTGGAGGAATGTTGATGGCTGTGATGGCTATGCTCCGTTAAGGGCTACTGTGCTGTGTTAGAGGCTGTTTTGCTCTGAGAGCAGTAATAATTAAGGTTATTAGGCTGTGGAGTATTAATAATTAAGGATCATATAATGTGTGGTATTAATGGTTAAGGATTATTTGGCTAAGGGGGTTGTAATGGTTAATTAGGGTCAATTAGCTGTGGTTAAAGGTTATTTGGCTGTGGCTATGAATGCTGTTTAAAGTTTAAAATGCTGTTTAAAGTTTAGAGTTGTAGATGATGGTTAAACTGATGTGGGGTGATGCTGTAGTGTGTAAAAGCTGTTTTTAGAGCTGCAGATATTTGTTAAAGTATAATAAAAAGAAGCCCATTAAGTCACCATAATAGCACATATAAAAGCATAGTGAGACCATCATTGTGTTGCTTGTTGTCACACCCTCTGAAACAAATCAAGAAAAAGGAAAAAAACAGATAAACGGCAATACATTATTTATTGTTTTATTTTGTGTTGGGTCGTGGGGTTAGTTAGAGTGGGTTTGTGACTAGAGATGACACTTCCTGCTGTCCTGCTATTTATCATTTGCTTTTTCTGTTGGTTTTAATGATGAACATTTCTTGTAGCAGAAATCATGGACTTTCCAGTTTCTGCTTCTTTTCCAAGATGCTATGTTTGGTGTCAGAAGTGGGATAGTTCCCCAGCGGAAAGTGGAATGGCACTTTGAAGAACTTCAAGGTGGACAGGGAACAGTGTGGCGAGGCTCAGCAAAAGAAAAGCCATAGAAGCAACACGGCAACCAGAACGGCATCACGCGGTGGAGGAATATGCGTGCCACGCAGTCCCTGAGCCAGTGGCTGGCGGCATCCAGCTAGAGCAAGGATGGAGCAGAGCTCAACCTCAGCATATAAGTGTTGCAGTGAGCAGCACAGTGTTGCGTGGTAGAGGAGCGTGTACCCCTTAAATGAGGGCCAGCAGCCAAGCAACTGGTATGCTGGTGCTGGAGGAAGAGGGGACACCACACCAGACCTAAGCTGGTGGAGTCCTGCCACACTCGGGAGGAGCTGCGGCGGCAAGGACAGGGCCCTGAGTGAGGATGGTGCTTGTGCTGGCTGGGACTCCAATCATCCCAGGGTCTTGGGTTGGTGTGTAGGCCGAGACAGCGGCGGCCTGTGGCTCTGGTTTTGGGAGAGGAGCTTTAGGGGCACAAAATGCAAAGTGTGTTCAACTGTGTTGAATTATCTCATGTTAGAAGTGACTTATACTAGTAAAACCTGCCATCCTGCCATTAAAATGAACTGAGAAAAAACATCATTTTGCTTATAATAACTGAATTCTTACAATTCAGTCAGTTGATTTCCATTTACTCGTTTAAACTGAATTTCTGAACCGATTTAAGAAATCATGGTAAAAAAGTATCTATTGTATTATTCTCATTCTAATGAAACACACAGGGGAGTAGGTTTATCATGTCTTCCGTTGATTGGACGAATACTGTGTGCAGAGCCCCGTACGTTAAGAAGCAAAGTGACTACATTTCCCAAGATTCCGCGCATTTCACGCTCCTCTTGTTGGCTTGTTTTGCAGCGGCAGCAGAATTATGGGAGCGGAGTCCAAACAGGCTCAGACTGGAGCAGCGAGTGAGTTTTAGCGGAGCTGCAGGATCTGAAAGTGAACCGAGGCTGAAATGCTGGCTCGAGTTTTCGTTAACGGCCGCTACGGGCTCAGTAACCGAGTCTCGAGTGGAGCTGCACGGCTTGGTGTAGCGGGACAGCCGGAGCGGAGCTCCACCACGGAGGCAAGTTACAGAACTGGGAGTGTGACCAAAAACGTGGTTCACAAATTTCTCAAGACTTTTTTGCAGCATGAAAATAATAATTAAAGCTGAAGTCTTAAAGATAATTATAATGCGGCGCTTTGGTGCTTGTTAGTTACAGCGGCAGTGTTGATTGAGGACAGTTGCTGCTTCGGGCTGGGACGGTTCATTTACTCCGTATTCCAGCAGCAGCAGCGGGGTGTGTGTGTGTGTGTGCGCGGCGAGCTCGTCATGCTATCCTTGTGAGGACTACATGTCCTTACAATGATAAGACAAGGTGAATGTTTGTTTAAGTGAGGACGTTTTGCTGGTCCGCGTGTTGTTTACACCACAAATAACATTGTTTGGAAAAAACTAACAAAGCAAAAAACTGCCTTTTGGACACTGAGGTTAGGTTCAGGTGTAGGTGTGGTATTATTTAGATATACAGTAAAGAAAAATCAATAATCAGTGCAACTCCTCGCCAGTGATGCAAGACAAACGTGTGTGGAGTTTCTCATTCAAACCCATTTGACTCGCGCGCTCCATCTGCTTCCCAGGGGACAGTTAATTAAGAGCACGAGAGCGACCATGCGGACAGTACACGGTCTCTCCCTCCCTCTCTCTCTCTATCCCACTCTTTTTCTCTCTCTCTCTGCCTGCTTGCCTCTCTCTCTCTCTCTCTCTCTCTCTCTCTCTCTCTCTCTCTCTCTCTCTCTCTCTGCCTGCTTGCTTCTCTCTCTCTCTCTCTTTCTCTCTCTCTCTCCCTCCCTCCCTCTCTCTCTCTGCCTGCGTGCTCATGTTACTCTGTCTACCTCTTTTTTTCTCTCTCCTCTCCTTCTCTCTTCTCTGTCTGTCTTTCCCTCTTGCACACACATACACACTCTCTCCCTCACTGTCCCTCACATACTTACAGGTGTGTAGTTAGGGATGCATGACAATGCCAGAATCATATTGGTAAATGCTTAAAAAAAATTCAGCATGATTTTTCACATTTTGATTTCATAGATATCTCAGACCAATATTTGATTATGTTTATTGTTCTCCAGAAGAGCAGAATATTTAGGCGATACTGGTCTACTGCGCTGAAATTGCTGCATTTTATTTATTTTGCTGCATTTATGGCTCTATAAGTAAATGTTATATTTCCATAATTCTATCCCAGGTGGGTTTAGTCCCAATTGCTTCTTTTTTTAAAGGCTTATGTGTCCACAGTTGTGAAAGACATTGTGACATTGAGATATCACAAAGCAAAACCGTGAGTGTGCATCGCAAAGATGTGAAAATACATTCTGTTAATTATGCTGTCTAATGTAATGGCATTGTTTGAATGAATTTAGCAATCAGCACCAGTTAACACCAGTCAGCACCTCACTCCAGCACTCCTTCTGCCTCCCAGTTTTAGTGTTGTTGAGAGTAAATTGTGCAACGACATGATTATAGAAATTTTTTCATTAGAATTTTATTCAGAGTATTGCAGGAATACAGAATCGCGCCGAACATATTGTCATATTTATACACGCACACCATGCATAGGCACACTATGTATAAACCTTGATCATTTAGCTAAATTGTGCAAAATTATCAGTTGTTCCAGGAACAAGGCTGGTAAGACATGCCTCAGGGCAGTGAAGCGCAGTTGTCCTGTACTCTGCTTTTGTGTGCGTGTGTTATGTAATGATTGTAGCTTTCTCTCCAATGACTTCTGTAAGCTCAGCCTGACCGCTTGCATGGCTTTCATGTTGTTCTGTAAAGAGTAAACCTGGGGTAAAGAGTTAATAACCTAACAGGGTTGTTGAGATTGAGGTGACTGTACACAGGCTGATAAACCAGTAAGAGCCAGGTCCAGAGCCCAAAGGTCAGTTTCCAATTTGCAGAGCACAGTAAGCTGCTTCAGTGGCTCCTCATAATGGGAAAGAAAGTCCCAGAGAACATAGTGTAAAATGTCTGCTACTAAAATTCAGTTTTATATTAAATATCCAGCAAAATTTGAATAAAAATAAATAAATAAATAAATATCTTACTTAAAACTGCTAATCAGACCTATCTGAGAACTGTCTGGTTGTGGTCCTAATATTCTGTTGAGTGTGGTTAATTGATATCATGCAGTCTGACTTCCAGCCTGCTACGCCACTGAAGTTGAACTAAGCACAGTTGCATGAGCAAAGAGAATGAGCGAACCGTGCTAGTTGATCTGATTGTGTGTATCTGTATGAGGCTTAGTGTGTAGCATTAGCCTGAGTGTTAACATTTTTATTGATGCAACTTAATGAATTACTTACTGCCACATAAAAGTGGAAAGAAATGCCACCAATAGACCTTTTGAAGTTGTGTCAGAGTTTAAGCTGGTGTTCTCTATGGCCTTGTTTTACACCGGACATTAAAATGTGTCCTGTAGCTGAATGTTGTCCATGTACGTGTTTAAAAGACGTCTTTTTGATCAGAATCTGTTCAGGTCTAGCTGTCCTGATCCTTTATATATTTATATATTTATTATATATTAATACATTTTTGTCATTTTTCAGTTTTTGGCATAATTTGAAAATTCTTGTTGGCCTTTATATTGTGTGCAAACTTCATAATGAATGGACCAAAATAACTTGGAAAGTGGTTCTATTGATATCTATTATATATACAGTTTTCTCATTCATTTTAGAATCACCTATATATATATATTATGTGTATACATACATACATACATACGTGTGTGTGTGTGTGTGTGTGTGTGGAGAGAGAGAGAGAGAGATTTCTAGCTTTCTGCTCACTATTTGACTAGCATGTTAATGATTATATATATTTATCTGCCAGATTGGTTTTATATGGAGTCCATACTTGGGAAGCATATTCTTACATTTTACCATTATTATAGATTATTAAATATGAGGAGTGATATGTTGTATCTCTGTTTTTCTCTGTACAGGCGTCTCTGAAGCGGACCCCTCTCTATGACTTCCACAGAGCTCAGGGGGGGAAGATGGTGGAGTTTGCTGGATGGAGCATGCCTGTTCAGTACAAGGACAGCCACATCACCTCCCACCTGCACACTCGCCAGCACTGCTCTATCTTCGATGTCAGCCACATGCTGCAGGTGCATGTGTATGACTGGATGACTTTGTGTTGGTTTTAGTGATTTTTAGAGTTAGAGGTCTGCGCAGGTATGAAATTGAAGCCTGAACCCGACCCATGCCCATGGATTTCTCTCATCATCCATGGCTGTGACCGTGACTGTGACTGATGTTTTCTTGAACTTCATTCACGATTTCATTCAGGGGTGCATCATCCAACTCTAAAACTCCTTAGCTGTTTTAAATGCAGTTGGCATTACAAGAGAGAGAGCATGAGAGAGAGTGAGACTACACAAAAAAATCACTCATTAGGAAACAAACCTGAGCCCATTCCAATCCTGATGTTGTGAGTGAAAAATAGGACATTATATTTTGTCAGATCCCTGACCTCTACTACACGTTCTGGAAAACCTGGAAAATTATAGACTTTTCCAGTCATGGAAAACACTTTGAAATTTGAAATGATGAAAATATTAGGGAAGTCCTGGAAACTTGGGTCCTCTAATTCTCCAGGGTATATTTTAGTTTGTCCTTCTGAATTTATATAACCAAATCGTAATGCAAATTATTCAGTAACTTGTACATTTTTTATTTTATATATTTTTTTTTTGTAAAAGTTCCCCTCAAATTAACAGAAAATGTGTTTTATGATCATACACATATTGCAATTTACTGCTGAAAGCCAAAAATCCTAGATGACCTTTGTATTATTTTATAAAAATAATTTGTACAGAGCAGATCACTGAAGAGAGGCCATCTGTTTATAGTTTATAGCCCAGATTTGTGGAAAAATGGGTTGACTTTCAGTAGACAAAAAAAATTGTGAGTTCAGCTTCTTCTATTATAAGGGTTTAAAATTACATTACCAATCTATTTGACTGGAAAGAAGACAGTTACAGCTCTCATATGACACCCACCTTTTGAATGTAGCTTATGAAATATGAAAGTTATGAAGAATATGACGAAGTGCGTTTTGGAACCACCAGTGGTCTCAAGGAGTTGAAGAGGTTAAGACATGGCATGTTTTAGCATATTCTGGAAAATGTTGATGTGTGTGTTTATTAAATGTCTTATTGTTTCCAGACCAAAGTCTATGGAAAGGACAGAGTAAAATTTATTGAATCTTTAATTGTTGGAGACGTCGCAGAACTGAAGGACAACCAGGTGACTCACGCTCTCTTTTATTTTGATTAAAGAATTATCCATATTTAAACAAAAAAAAATGTCAGAAATAAAATTAATGTAATCATTATGAAGTTTGAAAACATTTCAGTTTTTTTAGCTCCCAGAAAACATAAGTGCAGGTTCAGTCAATGCATTTTTAATTAATGGGTTTACCTGGGTTTACATTTTCATTGAAAATCAAATCAAATTGTAACTGTCAACATTTGTTTGTGTGTGTGTGTGTGTGTGTGTGTGTGTGTGTGTGTGTGTTTGTGTGTGTGTGTGTGTGTAGGGCACTCTCTCACTGTTCACCAACACTAAAGGCGGAATCATGGATGACCTGATTGTGACTAAAACAGATCAGGAGTATCTGTACGTGGTGTCCAACGCTGGCTGTGCAGACAAAGACTCCGCCCACATGCAGGTGAGGGACACATAAGTAGAGTTTCCTCAAACACTTACAAACATACATCAACAGAGGAATGGACAAATCCTACTCTGCAGTTTGTTCTTTTAAGGGTAAATTACATGTAAATTACCTGTTACCCACAGCCAGTTCATATATATCTCTGATATCTGCCATGATATCAAAATCATTGTTGGATGAGTATTAGTTGTAATCTAGCCATCATCTAATTTATGGAAAACTTAAAAAATATACTCATCAGTTGTACTAGGTTTTTGATGCTCTGGTTGGTTAGTTTTCTGGCTCGCTAGCTAGTTGTGACTTGTGATAGCATCCTATTTAATATCGGTAAAGGATGTCTTCAGAAAATTCATTGTGATGTTATATTTTGCCATATTGGACAAACCCTACCTTAATGTACATTGAACACGATTTTATTCCAAGTCATTTTTGAATGATTTCTGCTTGTTTAGGCATCATGAAATGTTCACACAATGTAAATGGCAGATTTCACATGTTGGATAACTTAATTTCCTTTGCTTTTTTAAATAAATAGTTTGAAGCAATATGTAAACATAGTTAAAGTTTCAAAATGTTAGTTAACATTCAATACCCAGTCAACACAGTCCATATGTGAAAAATAAGCTACGAAAACAGACCGTTTTGAATAAATTGTTTCTGTGATGTCACAAGAACCAACTCATTTACATATATTCACCTATTCAGCCTACAGCTGTTTAGTCCTGCCCATATTCACACACACACACACACACACCATCTAAACCGCTTATCCTTCTGGGTCACGGTGGGGTGCTGGAGCCTATCCCAGCTTCTAGCCCATTCCATCGGGCGGAAGGCAGGATACACCCTGGACAGGTCGCCAGTCCATCGCAGGGCAGACAGACAGACAGACATACACATTCACACCTAGGGGCAATTTAGCATGTCCAGTTGGCCTGACTGCACGTTTTTGGACTGTGGGAGGAAACTGGAGTACCCGAAGGAAACCTACGCAGACACAGGGAGAACATGCAAACTCCACACACAGGGGACCCTGGTGGCCCAGCCGGGAATCGAACCCAGGCCCTTCTTGCTGTGAGGCGACAGCGCTACCCACCATACAGGACAGCCAATCAAAATGGAGGTCATTTATCTCGTATCCGTCTTAAACAAAAACCGCCTATTTAATTTACAGGGATAAAATGAGGTTGAGAAATAGTCAGGTAAAAATAAATTATGACCATTTTTGGAATATAAAACCAAGCAAATGTTATAAATGGACCTTAAGGAAAAATATAAGAAAAATGCATGATATGGGCTATTTAAAACATTTTAATATGACCGTATGTACAGCATACATTACATTATGATGACAACACCGTGGTTAATGTTGACATTGAATTGACAATCAAATTTAGTAGATTTAGGATCAACAGATTATACATATACATTATTATAATAAGTTGTTGTATAACACCTTTCTCAAACCAAAGTCATTTTACAACAGCAGCGGACACACAAGAAAAAAAAAAACGCTTGGTCAGTAGGGGCAGACTCCTCGGTCAGCAGGGGAACGTTCCAAAAGCATGCTCACAAACAATACAAAACAGGTAGGCCAATGTGAAGTGGCAGCCAGGTGTGCACAGCGCACTCCCACCAGAAGCGCAGATCACACTTTTCACTCAAATCCTCTTTTACTTCCAGCCAAAATTTGATCATAAACTGGTGGGCTTGACAGTTGATAGTCTGTCTGCTTTGTTGGGTAGTTGACTTTGTTTGCTTGTTTGTTTGTTTGAAGGCCAAGCTGCAGGAGTTTAAAGCTGCAGGTCATGATGTTGATTTGGAGTATATGGAGGAGAGTTTGATTGCTCTGCAGGGTAAGGCTAACTGTTGCCTATGCATGTGGGGGACTTTGGGTTAACATAAGAAAAATAGAGACAGAGAATAGTACGGAAACCTGTGTGAAGTCATGTTTGTATTAAATTAGAGAGATTGCATTACCTGTGTGAAAGTGTGCTGCCTCTGTTCATATCTTTTGCTATGTTTTCTAACTCTTCTGTGTTTGTTCTTGTCTATATTTGGCATGTTTGTGCATGTTTCACTCACATCTGTGTGTACGCGAGTAGGTCCGTCGATGGCTCAAGTGCTGCAGGAGGGAGTGTGTGATGATCTCAGTAAGCTGACGTTTATGACCAGTGTTTTGACCCCAGTGTTTGGCGTCCAGGGCTGTAGGGTCACTCGCTGTGGATACACTGGCGAGGATGGTGTTGAGGTGTGTTGGTGCAAAATTACATACAATTTTAGGATAAGAGGATGGTGTTTTTGAAAGAAACCATCCTAAATGTCAAAAACATGATAGATTCAGTCTGGCATTGTATAGCAACTCGGTAATAAATGATTTGTGTCTATGGGTATAACACATGAGTCAAAACACGCATGACATTTGGCTTTGTATGTTGACTGTTTCTATTTATTGATAGAACTACTATGTATGTAGTCATATTGGACATAAAAAATCTGCCCCTGTATGTATTTTTGTACTCAAATAAATAACATTACATGGCCCTGTAAAATAACATTTATATAGTTTGCCCCTTACCCCAAATGTACTTGATCAGCTAACATGATCGAGTATATTGTCTGATGTTTGCTTCTTTGGTTTTGCACTGGGGCTATGAGGCTAACATAGCTAACAAGTAATAGATGCTTATACCCCACCAGTTAGCATTGTGCAAACTGCATTTCTGAATCATCATACACTTATTTCAAACCACATGAAATTAAGTAATCATAAACAAACTTGCTTATGTCGTTTCTAACCTTATGACAGTATATCATACAGTGTCAGGAACATGTGCAAGTCTTATTTAAAATTAATTAACAACTTGACATGGTTTGGACTTGAGGGCGTAGCTGTAGTGAAGACTTAGAAGCTAGGCCCCTCCAGAATGTTGATCATTAATCATTAAAATATTACAAAAAAAATAAGGTGACTTTGAGTTCTTGCATCTTCATGCATGCTGACAAAGCTTGATCTTAGATCATCACAAATTTTTAGCAGATGCTTCACCATGGAAACATTTACACTGATGCATGCTGCTATCGGTTAAGCAAAAAAGAACAGGGCAACATTTTTTTAACACCAGTTTGTAAACACAACATTATCTTCCCTTACTGTTTCTCCTGATGGTGACAGTTTAGCTGTGCTAGTTTCTACAGCAGTGGTCAACAACCTCATTCTGGAGATCTCCTTTTCTTGCAGTTTAGTTCCTGCATCTAACATGCTTAGAACTAGATTCTGCAGGAGGGCAGATCTCTAGGACCAGGGTTGGTCACCACTGTTCTACAGGCTGCTTACCTAGCTAGTGAGTGGTTGTAGTTGGCCTTGGTAAAATAAACAGTTTAATACTGTGAAAAAATGCCAAGAACACTGCAGTCTTCTACCATGCACGCTGGACATCTACTGTCAGTTGTTAAAGTAGCCTAACTAGGCAGCTAAATGTGAGATAACCGTGTGTTGTGTTTAATACTCACCTTTTCCCCTGCAGTTATGGTAATTGGTGGGTAATTTTATCTCTAATGAAGTAGTCATACTTGCTTGCTAGCTGCCCCTCAACTTGTAAACAGCCACACCTAAAATGAGTCAGACTGTACCAGTGGTTTGGATGTAGTATCAAATCAGTTTGGATGATGTTAATTGTCAGGGTATAAGCTTCCATTACTTCTTGGCTACAATGCAAAACTAAAGATGCATACTTTGGACACCAAACCTGTCTTGGCTGATTAACCACATTTGGCCTAAGTGGAAAATTGTGTAAATGAGTTTTAATGAACTCTTCTTGTGCTGTGTGTGTGTGTGTGTGTGTGTGTGTGTGTGTGTGTGTGTGTGTGTGTGTGTGTGTCCTGTTTCTGTCAGATCTCGGTTCCACGTGAGAGTGTGGTTACGTTGACAGAGAGGCTGCTGGTCAACAGTGAGGTGAAACTGGCCGGCCTTGGTGCCAGAGACAGCCTCAGGCTGGAGGCAGGGCTCTGTCTCTATGGCAACGACATAGATGAGACCACAACACCTGTGGAAGCAAGTCTTGTCTGGACTATAGGTGCATACTTATTCTTCCTCATGTATTTCTGAATAAGCATGTGTGTGAGTATATGTGTTTGGATGTCTCTGTTTTGGACTCTGCATGACTTATAATTGCGTTTTGTATACAATATTTTGTGCATGCTTGTAGGTAAACGGCGTCGGCAGGCGAGAGATTTCCCTGGAGCTGATGTTATTGTTCCACAGATCAAAGCCAAGACTCAGAGAAAGAGGGTGGGACTAATCTCAAGCGGCCCTCCTGTCAGACAGCACACCCCCATACTTAGCCCTGATGGCAGAATTATAGGTAACACACATAAGCATACACTATATGTGGACACCTGACTATAACACCCATATGAGCTTGTTGGACATCCCATTCCTACACCATGGGTGTTAATATAAAGTCCTCCTCCTCACTCTGTGGCTATAACAGCTTCCACTCTTCTGGGCTTTCCACAAGATTGTGGAGTGTGTCTGTGTGAATTTGTGCCCATTCAGTCAAAAAAGCATTCATAAGATCAGGCAGTGATGTTCGACGATAGTTGTAATGCAGTCAACGTTGCAGTTCATCCCAAAGGTGTTCAGTGGGGTTAAGGTCAGGGCTCTTTGCAGGCCACTGGAATTCCTCCACACCATGTCTTTATGGACCTCATTTTGTGCACAGGGGTACAGTCATGCTGGAACAGGAAAGGGTCTTCCTCAAAATGTTGCCATGAAGTTGGAAGCATATTGTCTAAAATGTCTTTGTATGCTGTAGTATTAACACGATCCTTCTTTGGAGCTAGGGGGTCGAGCCCAAAACCCTGAAAAACAGCCCCAGACCATTATCCCTTCGAAATCCTTACAGCTATGTATTCTGGTATGTAGTGTTCTCCTGGCATCTGCCAAACCCAGATTGTGATTCGTCACTACAAAAACACGTTCACTGCTCCTGAGTCCAGTGGCAGCGTGCTTTACACCACTCCAGCTGACACTTGGCATTGCACATAGTGATCGTAGGCTTCTGTGGAAGCCTATGATGGTGCCTTGCAGTCACTGAGCTCTTCACTACAACCCATTCTACTGCCAGTATTTGGCTATAGGCTTATGGGTGTGGCTGAAACTCCTGAACTGAATAATTAGGAGGGGTGTCCACATACTTTTGGCTGTGTAATACCCCGAATTTACAGCAGGCACTTATTTCAAAGCAATGTTGCATAATTGATGTTGAAGTCAGCGCATCTGTTATTTCAATCACAGCATTGTTAATATTAATAGGCTTTCAATTGTACGAAAAAGCCTGTAAAGAATACAGTTGTATATTGTCAGTCTGTGGCAGCTGAAACTATATTTCTTTTATTTTCTGCAGTATTTCTTAGTTTAACAGAATAATTTAAGCTCAATGGGAGGACCATCCAATAGGAATATACCTTATCTCTTCTCCTATTGAACAAGAGATCTTGCAGAAATACCCCTCTAGGCCTCATGAGACTGAACTTGTAAACCTGACTGTGCTAAATGTATGATTTGCTACACCATTGCTTGAGGTATTGCAAGCTTTCTTTAGAATATCTAAACATGATATAGAACTAGAATCTTTAAAATGAAGTAGCCATAGCGTGTAAGAACGATTTACAGATTTAGCTGGACAGGCTACAGATCCGTGAGTTATTCAGTTGCTTTTAGAGCTTTGGCTTTGTGCATTATTTCATCTGTCTTATTCAGATTCTCATTTCTCTCTCCTTTTCAGGTGAGGTCACGAGTGGATGCCCCTCCCCTTGCCTTAAGCAGAATGTTGCCATGGGTTATGTGGAGACAAGCTTTAGTAAAGTGGGAACACCCATTCAGGTGGAGGTTAGAAAGAAGATGATACCTGCTGTGGTCAGCAAGATGCCGTTTGTGCCCACAAACTATTACACTGGACGCTAGAGCTCATCCTTGTCTATCATAAGGAAAGGCACTAGACATGAAGTTGGTCAGTGATTGACTTCAGACAGATCTGATAATGTCTAGCACTTAAGGTCAAAACTACTGAATTTCAGATTTTAAAAATAATTTACGCTTTGAGATTGAAGGAAAAGGACATACAAGGACTTTTTACATCCAAATGCACAGTTACACTGCATCTTGGGAGTGGCAGTATCCATCACTATTCTGTGTTCGCAAACAGAAACACAGATTCAAACATGCTGAATATGTATTTTTCTCAGTATCTTTTAGTCATTTTTTAACTCTAATTTTATAGTTAGATAATAATAATAATTTCCAGCCATTTTGACTGGAAATTAAATAAATTAAGGGTGGTCTCTGACTTTTGTACAGCACTGTAAACTTGTACAACCAAAAACTAATGTTGCAGTACATTCCTGTTTAACTTAAGTGCGTATCTCTGTGTGAATGAAACATCTGTTTGGAAGGACACACTGTATTTAACCCATGTTTTCATACAGTGATCAGTACTGCTATCCAGGGACCAACCACTGACTGACCACTGACTTTATTTATACCTAATGAGAGCGTTAGTTTATTCTCAGAACTTGGTGATTAATAATAACCAGAACATTTGCTAAATACACTGACAGTAATGTGAGTACATATAACGTAGGTTCCTGTAACCATGTGCCTTGGTTTGCATAATTGTAAGATAAACCTACAGTAAACGGTTAACAGTATTTGTTTATTTTTGGATTAGTACCTTCATCTCTTGACTTGGCATCTATTACAGTTTTAACTTTGCCAAATCTCTCTTTCTTTTGGTGCGAATGGTGCACTTTGGAGTGGTGCTTTTTATATGCACTGGTCCAGCACATTTCTGTATGTTTACACTATTTCCCGTATTTTTTTTGCATATCCTGTGTTATCCTAAGCAGTGAAGCCAAACAAGGGGGCCAAAATCTAAAGTAAAACTGTAGAAACTTTTGTACTACTGTATTGTCATGATGACTCTTAGCTTAGGTATATTTTAGGATATTGATAACATAGTAAATAATATTATGAGAATAAGATGAATAACTTTGTATTTAACATTATCAATAAACTGTTGTCATTAGTGATGTTGTGTTTAATGGTGTTTCATTTAACACTATTTTAAGATTGGAACCTGTTGGTTCAAATCTTTGTCTTTGAAAACTTCAAAATAGACAACATGATTGATTAAACATCAGTAAATAAATGTACTTACACACCATCATCGTCGTTATGATCACATGATCTGATGAATCAAAAACTGAGTAAAAGGGCACTCAGTAAGACCTCTGTGGATTGAAATATATTGCCATTTCTGGTGGTTACAACACTGGAATTCTCGAGAAGGCAGATACCAGATTGTGTGCAATACCTGTGTTGGCAGACATCACAACCAGAGAGCTGACCTTAAAAAGCAGGAACTCTGCTCTTGCTTGCTTCCTTCTAGTTAAACCTCTGTTCATCCTTCTTCAGCTGTCACACAACTAGGGCTGCACAATACATTGTTTGCTAATTGTTATTGCAATACTGGCCTTTGCAATGCTGATAGCGACATATGCTGCAATATGCACAAAAAACATGAGTGTCCTGACCAGATCACTGAAGTTTGAAGTTTTAATGAATGAAAGGATTCACATTTTCAGACAAATGTAAATAATATTAATCAAATTAATGCAGGCTGGTCTTTAACTATCTATGTGTGTTTTTAGTATGCTGCATATACATGTAACGGTATAGTCACAACATGGTACTTTGTCCATATTGCGCAGCCCTACAGACAACCACCCCATCTGGATTAGTACACATTGTGGAAGCTATGGTTAACAGGATTCACTGAAAATGAGGAAATGAAGCTATTTTAGATTAATATGTATTGGCATTAACAAAAATGTGTGTCTTTTTTTATCTTCATAATAGGTCTTTTTTCTTTATTTCTATTCTTTCTCCCTGAACTCAATTTATAAAGTTTGTGTGTATAAAAGTTTTTTTGTACCCAACATCTATGTTTTCCAACCTCTCTTTATCCCTAAGAATTAAACAAGTTATTATTGTTACTGTGCCTGTAAGACTGACCTCTGTTCTGATTGGCTGCCCTATACATAATCATTCAAAAAGCAGTCCGGAAACCTGGTTGGAACCCTCCTCATAACTTCACTGTGAATGAGCGGCACTAAACTGCTGCAGGCTAAATATGTGGATATATGTAAATACATTGGTTTTGGTGACCTAAAAACAATGAATTCAGAACAGGCTGTTTTTCCAGCTTAGTTCCCATAAATGCACTGTATTGATATATAATATACATATATATGTATATATATATATATATATATATATATATATATATATATATATATATATATATATATATATTATTTAAAAAAAGATTTTATGAAAGTTAGGTTTTCCATAATATGGGTCTTTAACATGGCAGTAAGCCTCCCCTAGTGAAGTGTACTGTTACATGCTGCATAGGCAGGAATCTCAATAGGCCTGCAGTATTGGGTTACATTGGGACCAGCTAATATAGAACAGCCATCAGGTAGAAGTTAGGAAGAAGGTGGCACTATATATATACATAATGGTCAGCAAGATGTCACTTGAAGTAAGTTAACACATTCTACAGGAAACAAAAATGGCAGTGTTCTACAAATTTTAGTAATTGTGCATTAAAATGTGAAGAAATGTGTTCTGTGTAGAGGAAGCATAACTTGTTTACACTTAGAAAATCTACAAAACATGTAATTTAACTGGGGTGCCCAAACTTTTGCATATGACTGTATATGTATATAGTGTGATGTTCAGGAGAAACTTGGCAGGGCCCAGCTTCCCGAGGATCATTTAACTGATACAAAGAGTGTTCAGTGTGATGCTCACTATACCATGTAAGAGTCATCTTTGTGCTAGATCAGGCGTGCACAACTCTGGTCCTGGAGGGCCGGTGTCTAGCACAGTTTGGTGATTTACATGCTCAAACACCTGATTACACTCATCTGTTAATTGCCAGGTTTAGTGGGTGTGCTTACCAAACTGTGCTGGACATCGGCCCTCCAGGACCAGAGTTGGCACCCCCTTGCTAGACACTTGTGGGAAACACAGCCCAGCTCAGTTCACAGTGGTGCTGATAGGACCCTATCTGAAGCAGTTAATGCTCCTAAAGTGCTCCCTCAGGGAAAGCTTTCACAGGAAATGTGTTGTGGATACGTTACCTGATGCCTATGACATGTTTTACAGTAGCTTTATGATGCATTTTTGTTTTGAAACATTTTTAAATACATACAGACAAGGCAAAATAGTACCCAAAGAAAATTTTTTTTTCAGATTTAATGCTATTTTACCACTATTAACACAACATATACCATTTCAGGAGTTGTTAATTGTATAGCAAAAACAGAATGACAAAATCAGTAAGTTTGTCTAAAAACATTACACCATTACTTAAAGCTACTGAATGGGTCCTTAAAGTTGACTACAGCAAGAAAAGAAATTCCTATTAAAGTTAACTAAAGCGAGAGAAATCATGCTCTCTAAAATAACCCTTTTAATTTCACACAGACATACAGTATCTTAGTACTGGTTGTGTTTTGGTCCGTCTTCTGGGTTAAAATATGGTCACGTGTGCAGTTTTGCCTCCACTCCTCTTTAAAAGGCATTCATAAAAAGTGTGTTTCGAAAACCTGGGAAAAGAACTCAGATAGCATCTGTTATTTATAGTTTTCTTGAAGTACGATCATAAAAATGACAGCAGCGTTGTTCATCGTGACAAACTCGTCCACATAAACTATAACTTGTTTCCAGACTACGTCATGATCCAAACATTTCCAAACAGCTGATGGCTGCTCGGAATTCTGGGAACCGTAGTTTATGGTCGCTGCCTGCCTTCGCTGAGACACATTAAAGAGAAAAGGCGAAAACTACATTACCCATAAACGTTCATGAGAGGTGGAGCGTGCCGGGTCTGAGAGCGGCTATCGAGGAGAAGATGGTGGAATCTGCAGTTACAACGTGCACGATACTCCGTCCCAAACATTTCGAAAAATATCTACCATCTCAACCTGGCATTAGATATCGGTTACCCGGAGACAAACACAGATAATACACCCTAAAGAGAAGCACTCAGTCCGGCGCTGTTTGTTGTCGGGGGGCGAACACGGAGATTAATGGTGCCACAACGTGGAGCTGAAGTGAAGACCAAGTTGCAAGATTAACCTGATTTAGTTTGCGAGTTGTCCACCATTTCACACATTTAGGGACGGATTTCTCGGGTGTGAAGGTTTAAAGTCCGTTGACTGTTGGTCGACACTTGTTTTTGTTCAATCTTTGAGGCTCGCGGTTTGTGTTGGCGCCATAAAAGGGGCTCCTGCTGGGTTTGCCGGCCAGCTAGCCTTAGCTTCTTCGGGATCAACCGACTGACAACATGCCACGGAGCAAAAAGGGGAAACGTGGTGGCAGTTCAGGCAAGGGTAAGTTTACCTGCTGGAAGCGTTAGACTGCCAGTGTACAGTCAAACCTGTCTTCACAGTGACACTAGCTAAGAAATGAATGACGTTCGATGGTTTTTAATAAGAAAATGTACATTTTGGGGAAACTACAAGCGCTGTTTACGTTGTTGAATCCATTGCAACGGCTGTCAGCTAATTACTTGAGCACTTAACGTTATACAGCTGCTAAAGGGGTTACATTTCACGGTGGTACTAAAATAATATTCATTACATCTGTTTCTTTCCCGTTCACGTTTAAGTTTAAAGAGACGAGATAACTTGTAACAGCTGTCAGTGCGCTATGCAGGGTAAAACACATGCTATTCAAAATATTTTTAGAAGCCCCAAACTGAAATACAACCCAGGCCTTGGTCAGGTGACTTGGTAATGTTAGAAATCGTTAGAAAAAAAAGAAATTGTGGTTAATTTTTATTGCAGGCCTACGTGTTAACTTTACTGGAGTCTGATAATGGGACTGTATGCTCGAGAATTAAGGTTTTTGATTTAGGATTTAAGGATTTAATTTATTGTAAGTTATACATTAGAATTTGTACTTGCATTGTATCTCGGATATGTAAAATAAAAAAAAAACTCACAAGCGCACACAATGCTATAAATCAATAAATAATTCTCGTTTATGTATAAAAATCTTACTCTGTTGTAACTGTTTTGAAGTGTATTTGCAGATGTCTCAATCTTTAAATAGTGCTTGCTTCAACTCTTTTTGTCTGCTTATGGTTTTTCATTTCTGAGAATGTCGCTGATAATAAATTTATGATTGCAAAAAACTTATAAATGTAAAACTCTACGTGGCCAGGTGGGACAAAGCTGGCTTTAAAGTTGTTGAAGCCAGGACCAAAGACTGTATTTATGCAGTAAATGCTGACACAGAACAAGGACAAATATTGGCCAATGGATGTCAGTGAACTGATATATCCTTTGAGCTCCAGTCAGACTTACTTATTTTCATTTAAAGGTGCCATAGAATGCATTTATTCAGTATTTTAAATTGTTCTCTGTTGTCTGCATAGGAAGTATGTGACACTGGTCGGGATGAAAAATGCACCAGTGTAGTTTTACATGCCCATTTCCAAACCTGTGATTTGGCCCTAGAAGGAAATAAGCTGTTTTCCCTTTTTTGGTCAGCTTATGAATAATTCGATGAGCTCCGCTGGTGGCTCACACAGAAGCAACATGTCGAAATAGAAACAGGCAGGAAAATAAAATGAACCTCAGTGTAAATGAGCTAGGTCGTCATACTATTTAGTTGGCTATGCTAGTTACTTGGAGCTTGCTAGTAACTAAAATTACCTAAACTAGCTACTGGCTTGTTAGTTGTTAGTCCACTTCGAAATTTTAATTTAAGATTATCTGGCTTCACTTGCAGTATGGCTAGATAATTATAGGTTGCGTTTGGGGTCGTGATGCTAATAAAGTTGCAGCTGCACCTCTCTTCAGTGTCAAATGCCGAGCAAAGCCTTCTCGAAATTGTCCAATTTTTGAGAAATTGTCCGGAGTGAAATGTGCAGAGTGAACTAACAACTTTGAATTAAAATTATCTGGGATCCTGTTAAAGATGTGGGAGCTGAATTTGGCTTCCAGTTCACCAGATTGTTTTGCGAATTTTCTGTTCCATCTTAAATGGTGCCACTGTGACATTCTGTCACCTGTACAAGCTGTAGCATTTAAGGTGGATTGGAACATTCGTTTAAGAAGCTGGTGAATAGGAAACCAAATTCAGTTTCGTTTAAAAATGAACATCACCCAACATTGACCGTTTAGTTCCTTGGGAAGAATATGAAAAGTGCCGACATCCCCTCACAACCTGGAACGCTGTATTTCTGCTCATAGTTTGCAATTTTCATTGCTGATGCGCCATTGTCCTTTTTTTTTTGTTCTTCATGATACCTGTTGGGCTAAAATGTGGGCTGGTGTATGTAAATTTTGGGGACATAAATATTAATGAATGAAGACTTATGTACCAGTTTAGGTTTTTGGAACTGACCTGTTTTACCGTGCTGTTTTGCAAATACGGGATTTGTATTTGAAGGAGGAGACAACAGTGTTTGAGGTTAACGGTATGTCTGTTCCATATGCCAAACTTTTATTCCACAATGCCAATGTAAATACAGTTTTCCATTCTATGGCACCTTTAAGAGTCACTATTGGTTTACTGTGACATCAGTAGTGCCTGTTACATGCACAGTTATCACGCCCCTCTTGGTGCTGTGCAGGACTTATACAACCGCTGGCTCCAATTTGACAAGCAGCCACGTGGCTTTTCCTGCAAATTGCAAGCTCCTCTTACTGTGTTTCTGACTGGATTGCATTCTTGATTCTTGTTCAATTCTGGAATTTCTAAAGAATGTGTAAAGAGAATAAAACACGCTTTTTTGTCTGTCTAGAGGTGCCAGGAATATAGAATAGATTATAATAGATTGTATATATTAATTCATATAGAATACTATTTGTTCCTAAACCACATTAAGCCTTCTGTATGGTTCTTTCAGCTGTGCTCTTCTGTTAAGTCCTTTTCAGCTTAGGAGCTGCCTTATTTAATTTGAGAAAACACAATTTCATAATTACACAACATAGCCTCTCTCTATTCTTTCAGCATAGAAATCAGTAAAATTTGCTGTTATTCTAATCTGGGGACTGTTGTATGACTTGTAAGTAAATGCTAACGATCACAGTAATGGGTGTCTGTTCTGTGACAGTTGGAGGCGTTTGGTAACTGATCATGGGTTGTCGGATTATTAAGGCACAAAAATGTCATCGCTAGGTTTTACCATGGAAGACCCTCCTGTCCTGGGGCTTTCAGTCATGTGACTATTTTCTTTTCTCTGATTGCCTTATAATAGGCTCGCTTCGACAAGAAGTGCTTCAGTTGCAGCTGTCAGCCAAGACTGCACTGTCACGTCCAGGTAGCGTGACCTCCAATGTATGGATTTCATCATGACTTAGTGCTTTCATTCACACCTTCTCTGCCAAAGTGCACATTAATGCATTTTAACCTAAACCAGCCATCTATCCGCTCGTATTCCTCTTCCTCATGCTCGTCTGTGAATATTTACTGTTGCCTGGCTGCCTAATCTGGCTTAAGATGGCTTCTCATCATCACACAGTGTCTGCTGGAAATATTTAATTTGTGCCCAAACCAAATGAATACAGATTCCCCCCAGACTTCTCTTAAAGATGTATTATTGTATTGATGCAGATCAGATGTATGAATGTGAACGTTATTGCAGAACCATGCAGTACTGCCTTTGTCTTATGAGAGAAACTTCAGAGTGCTGCTGTAGGCACTGGATGAGTGATCAGTAGATGGCAGCTGCATCGTCTAGACTGTTCTGCCTGATCCAGGCTGTTATATCAGATCTAATAAAGGAGAAATATTTGTTACAGCATTGAATGTTTTTACTTTGGGCTCCTGTCCTGGATCATTAGTAGGGGGAGTATCTCTGACCTCCCAAAGATTTGATTATGATTTAGGGCATGGAATATCAGATTTCTCCAGTGTTTGAGTCGACTCCTTTGCTATAATTAAAATTTTTTTTTTAAATGCACTGAACACAGGAAAGTGACAGGAGGGACTGTTTACAGTTGTGAAATATATAAATGTAATATATAGATTGCAGGTAGTATAGTATAGTGGGTAACACCACTGTAGACCTAGGGGCTTGATTCCCTGCCCAGGCATGAACACTATGCTATACCAATAAGAGTCCTTTGGCAAGACTCATAATATTACATTTGTAACATGATTAAGAAATGCAAGTCACTCTAGATAAGCGCATCTGCCAAAGGCCATAAATGTAAATGTAAATATAGACAATTAAAACTCTTTCTTAGTTTCAAAATAGCCTAAAAATGTATCAAAAAGTCTGTGCATTTTTTTAGATATTATTCTGATTAATTATAGTACTATAACATTGTAAAGTCTGTGCAGCTGAATTGTTGCCTTCAAATCAATGCATTTTTAAACCCCTAGTCATTAGTTGCCAAATCTTAATGTGGAGAGCTTTCTTACAGGGCTGATTTCCAAGACAGGCGTTAAGTCTAGCCATGAACTATATTTTTCTCCATTCAGAATGATTGGAGTCCAGAACTAGGCTTAATCCCTGTCTGGGAAATCGACCAATCAAGTTTAGATTCAAGTCCATTCTTTCACGTTTAATCCAGCTAATCAGTGTCTTTACAGAAAGACTTCGATTAGCTGTATCAGGTGTGCTGGATGAGATACATGATGACATATTTCCTGGATTAACTCTGTGCATGGTCCACACCGTGTAAACATTGTGTCTAATTCTAATGACATCACTGCCCAACTGTTCCAGTCTTAACCCTGTCATGCCATTCACTGTACACTAACCCCACTGGAGCTTCCCAGCTCATCCCTGCTGAACCTCAGAATGTGAGCTTGTAATGAGCTTCAGCCTTCAAAGCTTGATGGATGTGGTTTTGGACCTTTGAATGTTTTTTTATTATCACAAAATGAATGTCTACCAGAATAGTTAGTAAATAAATTTAATTTTCTGAGCCTTTAGTTAGTCTTCTGTCCTCATATCAGACTGAAGTAGTGTCCCAGTGAGTTTGGACCCTTTGTAACCATGGAAACTGTTCTAGAGGTTTAAGACTGATCACAATCTATATCAGATAAACGCTTGATGAAAAGCTTTCTCAGCTGTGCTGCTCATGCTCACAGTTTCATTATGCTGCTGTTTCATGTTTATCTCTTCTGTTGTGAGTAGAAAGGCCTCCTGTGGTGAACAGTTTGTCCATTGTGTGTGTGGTGCTTCAAATAGGGGAGGCAAGGTTGAACTTTGCCCCAAATCGGAGCCCTGTGCCTGGTCAGAGAAAGAGGTTAAGAATGCTCAAGGGTGAAGAGGGGTCCAACAGCGTGTGTGTGCACTTGTAATTGTGTAATGTGTTCAGTACGGTATCGAAAAATCGATAAAGGGAAAGTTGAAAACAGTATACCGAAATGTAAACCATCACACAGTCTCTCGATCGCTGCCTTTAGTGGTAACCACAAAACATGAAACAGTAACATAAAGTTAAACTGATTTTGTAGCTACAGCAATGAAAGATAAGGCTTTTTTGTTTAAGCTTTTATTTTCTGGCAGAGATCAAACTTTGAATCTGTGTGAGAGCAGATTACAGTGGTGAAGCATTTGTTTAATTAAAAACATGAATGAAAATGGTTTTGGCTCAGATAATGGCAGGTTATATAATGCCAGCTAGCTCATTTGCTGATAATCTCTCAGGCACAAATAAAGAGAGTTTGGTTTGTATTTGAGAGCTGTAGTAAGCCAAGTTAGACTCTCTAATTTCGATTGCTTTGACAGATCACTTGATATCAGTGTTACCGCCCAACTCAAAAGAAACATAAAAGTACAAAAATCTTTATCGAAATGACCATTAGTGTTCTTTATTTGACAGTCATTAGTACATTTGCAGGACCCTGTAGCTAAAAGCATAAACACATGGTACCTTTTATGCTTAGTGTCAGGCTTAACATAGATTTTCACAATTTTACTGTTTTTGTGCTTTTATGATATGCTGATAATTTAATTTTGGCTGATTGAAAATGGAGGCATGCTATATAAGGTTTTATATGAGGCAGTTTGGATTTCTGTATTGCTTATTTATTATTGTGTGTATTTTTATAAGATCATGGTTTTGCATAAAACACAGGCTGCAATTAATTTTTTAAAAATAAAAATGATCTATTTACTGTTTACTAGTGTGTATATGTGTGTGTGTGTGTGTGTGTATATATTATATATATATATATCATGTATAGGTAGTACATGGTTAGAGCTATATAGGCCATTCTTGGGGTCTCACATGCAGCATTGGGATGAGCAAATTGTGTGGATGGTACTGTTTGTTTTTTGAAAGCTGCACAAAATATCATTTGGTATCACAGGAGTTTACAATATGCAAATTAGGCCCCTAAGCAATTGCACAATTGCAGTGGAGTTTTTATGAGTGTGCTGTGAGCATCATGACCAGTCACTGTACTTTGTAGGGATACACCGAAATGACCGCCGCTGAAATTTGTCAGCCCGAAATGGTGCTCACAGTTTGGGCAGAAAGAGAAAAATGACCTAAAATGTAGACGGGGGAAAAAACAAAGATTAAATTTGCCTACAACAAAATTTTGAAGACTTAACACAAATAATTTTAATGGTAATGAAAATGAGAAATGCTGATTAAAAACACCATTTATCCCCTTCGCTGTTCTGCGCTGAACAGCACAGACACGCTCAAAGAAAGGAAAGTCCCTGCTAGCCAATGTCATCTGTAGTCACAGTTTTTGAAATGAAGAAAAATTTCCGAATGACAATATAAGCCAAATAAAGTATAACAAAAAAGGAATTCATTGCCGCAGATGACCAGCTGTTCTGTTGTCAAGGATGTTTGATATAGTTGCTGTAGTCTACATACTGTAAGAATTCTATAGAGTTTATTTTTATGTAAATCATTTTATTTACAGTCAACTTTTTGGGGTTGTGGTTTTCAGCCGAGTGTGTCCTGAATTTCACTTTCAGCCATTTCAGTGCGTCACTAGTATTTTGTCAATATCAGACAGTTCTAATACAAAAGTTATTTACTGGCACACTGATGTGGTTTTGTAATTATAAGCAAAATTCAGCAAATGAGTTGATCTAGTTTTGTCATTATAAGCTAAACTGAGTGCTGTATGGTTGATAAAGCAGTGGTTAGAAGAAAGATTGTCTAGGTGACATTTTGTTGCGTGTGAGAGAGCGGCGATGGCAGTGAATGGAGTTTGTCAGACAGAGGGCTTGTATGAATGTTACTGCTTGTTCAGAACTTTCTAATGTGTTCAGGATTAAGGTGAGGGGGTCATCGTGTGTGTGCTGAGCTATTGTGTCAGGGGTTAGCTGGTTCATACGAGTTTGTGACCTTAAAGAGAAATGTGAAATATAAACCTGTGATGCTGATTGTTTCTCTATCTCTGTATATCAGTTGTTACTGTAGACGAGTGGATTGTTCACATCTATTGATCGCATTATGTCAGTGACATTTAGTGTTTCGACTGAATGACAGTTGTACAGTGAACTCACAGAACTGCTAAGTAGAGGGTAACAGGTACATTATGCCAGCAGCTTAACTGCACATTGGCAGTGCATGTGATTGTGGCATATAGGGGCATGTATGTATAGCATGGGGACAGAATAGCCTGTGTTCTGTTTACAGTGAGGTACTGATGTGTTTTCTCATGTAGGGTTGTCACGATTATTCAGGGAATAACTGAAAAATACTTTTTCAATGAATCTGCAGTATGTATTTTGATGAGGCATGTTTTACATTTTCTCCTGGCCTCTGTTACACTAAGAAACAGAAACATGCATCCAAAAACATTCAAATCATGTGTGAAATGTTAAGCACTGATTAAGTTTTGTTAGACCTATATTAAATTGAAAATGATCCAAAACATATGAGATGTTATTTTATAAAATACATTTATTTATTTTGTAAATAAACGCTTTGATGAACCGATTTGATACCTGCAAAAACATTAGGACAGGAGCATGTTTACCACTGTTACATCACCTTTCCTTTCAAGAATACTTCATCAGTCATTTGGAAACTGAAGACACTGATTGATCCTTTTTTGAAAGTGGAATTCTTTCGCCATTTTCCATTACACAAGACTTTAGGGCCTTTATTGTTGTATTTCGTGCCTCATAATGTGCCATATTTTCAATAAGAGACAGGTCTGAATCTGAACTGCAGTTAGGCCAGTCTAGCACCCACACTCTCTGATTGCATTCTGTATTTATACTACATTTATTCTTCTTTGGCTTAGACACAACATCCATTATTTCTATTTCTTATTTATCATTGACAGTATACGATTACATCAGCCTAGTGCCCAGGTCCCAGTGCCTAGTACGGTCTTAACTTGCATTTATGTTTGCAGCAACATTGTTTATTGACAACGGTTTGTGAAAGTATTCCAGAGCCCTGTGTGTACAGACTGATTTTCAATGCAGTGCTGTCTTAGGAATTAAAGGTCACAGGCATTCATTTGTAGTTTTGGCCTTGACTTTTATCTCAGAGATTACTGAGGATTCCCTGAAGCTTTTATTATTATGCACTGTAGAGGGTGAAATACCTAAAATCCTTGCAGTTGTTCATTGAGGAACATTGTTCTTAAACTGTTGGATTATTTTCTGACACTTTTTTGGCACAGTGGCGAGCCGCAAACCGTCCTTGTTTATGATGAACTAAACCTTTCCTGGATATCCTTTTATACTCAAGCATAATTGTTTCACTCGTTTAAGACGTGTTTTGAACATTTCACAGTGTTTCTAGTTTTAAATTGCTCTGCCCCGACTTTGTTTTCGACTGAGTTGCAGGCATCAGGTTCAGAATAAGCGTATATTTACAAAAAACATTGAAGTTGATACGGTAAAACTTTACATATCTTGTCTACTGGTTTTGTTTAAATATAGATCAAAGTGGATTTACAAGTTGTTTTTTATTTGCGTATTACGTATTACTTTCCCAACCTTTTTAGAATTGAAATTTGAATCTTTGAAACCTGTGATTTGTTATTGTTAGGTCCGTTTTTTTTTATTGTCCCTTTTTAGAAGCTCTGTTCCTTGAGTAATGTGGCAACATAATTTGGATTAACTCAATTAGTAATAATGACAACCCTACTCTCATGTCATTTCATGTCATCTCTTCATGTCATTTGTGCTTTTCCACTTTTCCCCTTATTAACCCCCTTTTTATCTTGGCGTAATCTGAATTTTGTTCTCTTCTTTCTCAGGAAAGAATGGAGGGAGAGGCGAATCTGGAGCCAGTGATGATGATCTGGCATCCGATGTACTCAGTCACTACAGCAGTGCCAGTGAGAGTGCCTCAGTGCTGGATGAGGGAACAGGTGCTCAGACACAAATACACCCGCAGTAGTACCGTTTAGTGTTGATTTTTCTACACCAGCACCTGATTCATAACACACTCAAGCCAATCGATTGAATTAGTTGTGTAGGAGTTGAGAAAGAACTGAACTGTGCAGTACTAATTAGTAATAGTAGTGATAAGTGCTCTAATCCTGTGCCCTGCTGAACAGGTGAGGTAGTGGATGAACAGACTGCTCAGGAGGAAACAGAAGACAAACTGAAGCAATGTATTGACAACCTGATGGATAAGAGGTGACACATACTCACTAAGCCACTATGAGTGCTTTAAAAAAAAAAAAAAGAAAACCACACGTGTTGAGACAAGTTTTATTAGCATCCATGCAGCTGTTAATCCTCAGTAAAGTACACTGTCTCTGTCATTAGTGCTAAGGTGCGTCTGGCGGCATTGGAGAGTTTGCGCTCTGCCTTCTCGTCCAGAGTTCTGTATGACTTCCTGCTGGAGAGGCGCCTCACCATCAGCGACTGCCTGGAGCGGAGCTTGAAGAAAGGTGGGGACTAGAAACGAGTTGCTAAGCTACCAGTTAATTCTGCAATAAAATCACTTCATTCTTGTTGTATGCATAATGTGACATTCTGGACTGATGTCTTTTTTGGCATATTTCTTCTTAGTGACCCTTTTATAGTGTATTTAACATTGGTTTGGTCACTTGATTGACCTATCTCATGATTTGGCTGTTATAATTGTATGCACTAGTGTTTTACATATTACGTTTTGTTGGTTTTCTAAGCAAAAACAAGTTACACATTCTCTACAGAGAACAAACTTAATAACATTTACAGCACATTTTAGTGTATAACTCATTTACAGTTTATTTGCTGAAATTGCCATATTGGAAAATAATATTAAAAAATATGCTGTAACATTTGCACAGGCACGTAACGTTTTTTCACAGTATGATAAATTCAGCTAATAATTTGTAATGTGCATTTAAAATATGTAGAAGTGTGTTCTCTTTAGAGGATGTGTTAACTTTAACAAAACTTTTGCAGATGACAGCACTTTAATATTCTGCAGCAGGCGTGTGATGTACACTCTGAAGCAATGTCTTTTGGTCTTTTTGTGGAGTGCTTTTATATGACATGACCATTTTATAGTGTCATAAATACATGTTTTTTGATATTGCTCTAAAGTACATGCATTGACCTGCTCCTTTCTCCTAGTTTTGAATGTGCTTTTTCTGTTAGTGCTGTTTTAACCAGAAGCATTACGGCATAACGTTATAATGCCTATTTATGACAGTGCCGTAAGTTCTACGCCAAAAACACAAGACAAGTTGGACCTGGATAAAATATGCCTAGATGGCTTTGGATTGAGATTGAGATATCCCTTCATTTAAAGGTGCAATATACAGTTCTGGAGAACGATTGTTGTTTGAATAGAAAAAGAAATACACCCCTCCCTTCAGAAGCTCTGCCCCCCTTAAATTCTTGGCATTGCCAAGGGGAACAACACTTGGCTGGCAAACTGTTTTTTAAGATCTTTGTGGCCATAAAGCACTTCACAAACATTGTATAGACAAATACCATGATATAACTTTAGCGCAAACAGGGACCTAGCAAGTAATGTAACTAACGTTAGCTAGATTGTGAGTTAGTGAACTGTTGCTATGGTTGCTGCTGTGAAGCTCACCAGTTGCCATCACAAACATTTGCAAAAAGGACAAAACTATACTGGCCTATTGGTTCAGTGAAACAGCAAAAATAAGTTAATGTTGCCCACCTGGCAAGCACAAACAACCTCATCATACATTTTCATGCCTGTCTGCTCTTTTTCGCCAGCTTCTTGTTTGAATTTTTCCATTCTACCTTAAATGATGCAGCAGTTAGGCTACCTTCAGGTGCCTCGTCTTCTTGTTCAAATTTTCCCGTTCCACCTTAATTTACACCAGATTTTTTTCTTAGCAGGCACACAGAACAGAGAGCTACCAGATAGTGAGGAGATATTTGCTGAACTTAAGTGTATTGAATTGAAATTGTATGCTTTGCCTTTAAGTATTTTTTCATTTCTTTGGTTTCTCTGCAGGTGGAGGGGAGGAGCAGGCTGCAGCGGCTACACTTTTTGCTCTCCTGTGTGTACAGCTAGGAGGTGGAGTTGAGGGGGAGGAGGGCTTTAAGATGCTCCGCCCCATTCTCAGCTCTATACTGATTGACAGCTGTGCCAGCCTGTCAGCTCGTCAGCGTGTGAGTAGCGTCCCAAAACTTTAAACTGGTGACCTTTTGGCAAATCATTTTTTATGATATTTTTTTACACTATATTCCCCCCTAACCCTAAATATACTCAACTTACCATGATGACATATATTATTACCATGTATCATGACAATAAGCAAATTTGAATAATCAGTAAAGCAGGGCAGAACAGTCCATAAATATTATTTTTGTACTTTTTAAAACTGAGTATATTACAGCAATTTTCAGTATAAATGTTCATGCATCATAAATCATAAATTCAACTTCTTAATTTCATAGTTGGTAACGATAATTATCAATAAATCGATAAATGGTCCCGACCATGTTGCTTAATCTGTAGAAATGAAGAAAAGTGTTACATAGCTAAAAATAATAATTCATAGCCATCCTGAAGCTGTGGTTGTAGCTGCCAGTGCAAACTAAAGAATCGTGTCTTGGCCTTTTAAGTATGTTTGGAGTAAGAGGAAAACTGTGTACGTTTGATGTTTTTGTTAAACTGTTATGTGAAGTATCCTTTCTCATACGTTTATTTAATGCTTTAAATTCTTAACTAAAACAAAGAAAAACTGTCTGGGCTCTGATTTACGCAGACATATTTTTTTTGTTGCCTTTTCTCCTACTCTAGTGTGCCCGTGCGTTGGGCTTGTGCTGCTATGTATCTGCGTCAGACGATATTGACGTAAGTATTAATCTCAGCACAGGCTCATCTCTTGTAGAGAGATTATGTAGTAGTTGTAAAAGACACTTCTGTGAAAATAAAAATAATAAAAACAACTCTTCTCTTCCCTTCTCATCTCTCAGGACTTGTTGAAGTGCATGGGGCATTTGGAGAGTGTGTTTGTGGGTGCATATCCACTGGGTGATGGTAGCTTACCCTCTGTTAAAGCTGGCACTCCTGCACTCCACAGCGCCGCCCTACAGGCCTGGGCTCTGCTCTGCACCTTGTGCCCAGCATCTCGCATCGAAAGCATGGTCAACTAGTGAGTTTCACAAAGAAATCCACATGGCAACAATTTAAACACATACCATACAGACACAACAGGGCTTTCAGCCCTACCACCTTCAAAATGAAGCCAAACAAATCTCTCTTTCTCTGTCTGTCTCTCTCTCTCACTATCCGTCACTGTTCCCCTCTCTCTCTCTCTCTCCCTCCTTTCCTCCCTCCCTCCTTACCTCCCTCCCTCCTTCCCTTCCTCCCTCCCTCCAGTCATTTGCCACGGCTGCAGGCCTGTTTAGATAGCAGTGAGGTGAACTTCCGGATTGCTGTGGGAGAGACTATCGCTCTACTGTATGAACTGGGACGAGACCTTGACCAGGTAAGCCTCACAGTGTCATCTTGGTCGGATTACATGTTGATTTTCTAAGTGAGTGTAAGTACATGTCCTATGAAGAATAGGGTTGGGTAGTATAACTGTATTCCACAGTTTTTAAAAAAAATTAATAGATATTTGATGACAGTATTTCAAAATTGACATTTCGAAAATCTATTTCATATCTGAAGTGCTTATTTGGCCCATTAAACGCCTCACCCCACCATAGTAATACCATCTACCATGGTAAAATTTGAAGACTGTTTGAAGATATTAAATATTATACTGCCCAGCCCCACTACAGGGAACATCATTGAGTGCATTTTAATACGCAGCAATTTACTGTTTATTTCAATTTAACACATTGCTTTGTGGCGCGCTCCAAGCTTACAGCACGTTTTATTTGTACTGTGTTTGCTTGTTTGTAGGAGTTTGAGTATGAGGATTGTGACGCGCTGTGTGAGAGTCTGAAGGGTTTAGCTACAGATGGCAATAAACATCGGGCCAAAAACGACCGCCGGAAACAGCGCTCCATTTTCCGTGAGGTCCTGCATTACATTGAGGTGAGACAAAACCCAAGACTTTGTGGCAGTTGACTTTCTCACAGCATGTGTGTTCTGCTGACAAGAAAAGCCATATACAGTACTGTAATTCCCTTTTTTCTCTCTCGTCTATGCAGAATGACGAGTTCTCTGAAGAGAAAATTCGTTTTGGGGTTGAGGTGATCTACATTGATGGCTGGATGCGTCGCCGGATTTATGATGCCTTTAAAGAAGTGCTTGAGTCTGGAGTCAGCCACCACCTACAGGTGAGGGGGACTGATTGCAACCCTTTTAAACTCAGATCTCTGTTTAAAAGGCCCATAATGCGTAGTGTGTACAATATATCAAAAGCACTGATGTATGAAACATCTTCAGGTCAGTATCAAGCCCTTTGTGAACTGAGTCAGGTGTATTGGAGATGCCAATGAATGAATGGGACTTGAGGGTTGATTTCAGTTCTTAAATGTCATAAATTGTTGGCCATTTTATTTAAAGATTATGTGATTGTGTGTCTCTCTTTCTTTCCTCTCATTGTAGTTTAACCCACTGCTGAGAGATATTTTTGGACTTGGAGCTCCTCTCATTCTGGACTCTTCTGTCAAAGCCGTCAAGATCTCCCGCACAGAGAGGGTAACCGTTCACCTTCACAAGTATCACTAAAATACATGACTGAGCCGGGGACCAAAATGGATCCTTACTCCCGCTTTAGTTTTGTGCTGAAAATGGTGAACTATTTTGTTCAGCGATAAAGATGACACATGAATTAGTAAACAAATTTGGACATTTTCTCATTATTAGCCTGCGTCAGTGTTCGCCAGTGACATGAACAAACCAACATGAGTTACTTGAGTGAAGCTGAAGTTGGCTTTTTATTTGTAGCCATAGACATTAGAAAATCATTTTGAAAAGTGCAGGAGACGTGGACCAGGAAAAAGTACAAAACTTTACTAGGCTGCACCTTTAATTCTTGGTCCATGACTGCAGTATAGTTAACCCTCCTGTTATTCTTCAATTGTTAACATATTTTATACTACACCAATTAAAACTTCCGGAAAGTTTTGGTGGAAATTCTGTTTTCCTTTCCCCGATGTTGTGTGAACTACAAGTGATTCTTGCACTACTACAGGTTTGGTCATGTTAAGTTAGAGCCCTAAAGCAGATGGAAGTTTTTTTTTTTTTAAGACTATAAAAGTGCATGTTATAGTGACCTTAATATCATCCAAAACAAATCTATCTAAAATGTTGAGATTTCTAATGATTTATACAGCTAAAACAGCCTGGGGTCAAACCGACCCCAAAGGACATTAATGCATTCAAAATGTGTACAGGACATTGAAAACACATAATCATGTTCACTTTATGTTTACCCAGTTGTCCCCATTAAACTAGGAAATTTAATACAAAGCAACAAAATTTGTCAATCATTTATTTAGAGATGTTAAAGGTTGAATGGGATCAAATGGTCCCCAAAAATAATAGGAGGGTTAAGTGTTTTTGATTAACAGCAGGCGGTAAATTAGAGATACACTAAAATGAAAACTGTTGGCCAAAACCGAAATTCAGCCACACCAGGCTGAAAATAGAAATAAACTGACAGATAAAAAGTTTGCATGAAATAAGCTTACTACAATTATTACAGTATACAGTCTACTGTATGTGCCATGAAATCCTTTGCCCTCGGCAACAGAGAACAGTTCATCATCAAAGGCGTTGAATTCTATTAATTTTTTGTTATACTTCGTCATTTGTCATTAGTGAATTTCAGAAACTGTGGAGTTTTCTTTCAGCTGTTGGTGTTTTGCTATGTTCTGCGAGCATGATGTGTATTCAGGTGATACAAAACCAGTAGAAAGTTCTTGGGCTTGTCTTCCCTCTTGATAATCAAGACAATGTCCCTGTGAGGAGTTCCTGAAACTGTGAAGAGTTCCACTCAGCTGACATTTTCTTTCAGCTGCTGCAAAGGAGAAAAACGCATTTTTAATCACTATTCCTTTTTAAAATTCTTTGTAATGTGATATAGTTGTTTCATTTTTTTCAGAATTTTTTGATGGCCTAAATTTTAATGCATCCCTACAGTAAACATGTTAGTGTTTGTTTTTAATGGTGCAGAACTACTGTTTTTTACAGTATTTTGCCACAGAGTCTGTTAAGTTTTATTTCCAGTGGCCACTGTAATTTTAGCTTATGTTTCTTTATCTGTTGCTTAGCAACGAAACGTGCATTGCTTGTAGGTATACATTTAGCTGATTTGGTGATCTATGGTGTTCACTATAAATTCCGAGTGCACTTTGGGAATAGTGTAGTGCCCTTAAAATGGAATTACATTTTATGAATCGGACACTAAGAGAAAAGTCATTTTGATCGTAGCCGTAGAGTATTTCAGAGCATTCATCACGTCAAGAGCTGAAAAAAAACTTTTTTCAGAATATTGGTTGTTGTTTCATTGTAGATATTTGGTGATTTGTGTTTTTCACCTTTCGTTGCAGCATCTTTTCAATTCTGCTGCCTTCAAAGCTCGGACGAAACTACGGAACAAAGTGAGGGACAAACGAGCGGACGTGATGTGATGAAGCTTTGGAATGATGACGCTGGAGAGGATGAAGAGATGCAGAGAGAGGAACACTACACCCCTCCTATCAGCTCACTTGAAATGACAAAACAGCGACTGCCAAACCAGGGACATGACAATGCAAAGTGTGTGTGTGTGTGTGTGTGTGTGCGCGCATCAGGACGAGTGAGTGTGTGTATGGTGTGTATGGTGTGTATGGTGTGTCTCAGTTTTATTTAACATTACTGAATGAAATAACAGAAAGCCTAAAATGACACATGCAATAGGCAGCATTTTCCCTTAAAATTTAATAAGGAAAAAAAAGAAAAAGATAAAGTACTGTTACTATGATGTTGATGTTGATGTGCAGTGATGGTTCTTGGCGGCCTCCATGAATTTGCCTTGTGGCCAGTTGGAGTCTTGTAACTTCAGCTGACAAGCAAACAGGAAAATGCTACATATTGCTAGTTTAAACAAACAACTTAATATTGTACCTTTGTAATGACCTCTCGTATGGCTGTATTCAGCTTTTCTGTTAAAATGTATTTTACTTTCTAATTTATTGAGAGTTTTGGGAAAACAGAAGAGCCTTTTTAACATTTAAAACATATGAGCTGTATACAAATCTACAGAGTGGGAAACGGCCAAGGAAACCCTTTCTAGTTTTCTATGTATGTTTTATACACAGACTGGCCGTGCATCTCCAATCTAATCGTGAACATTTATAGGATAACGATCATATTAAAGTCTCCTCTCACTGCCAGCAAATCATTTCTTTCTTTCGTCCAGATGCTGACATCTGGCTTTGTGTGATTTGACTGGACCAGCCTGAATGGATGTTTTAAAATCCTTTGTTAAATTATACACATTTGTCAAACCAGTTGTGTGCTGGCGGAGAGTCTCAGATGCTCTGTTCAGTAGTACTAAGTTTTTAAAGGGATATTTCAGCCTTTTTCAGTCTAATTTTTATCTTCCACATCTGTATCATATGGTCAGTTACCACAGACGTTTGGATGCATCCCTGAACAGACACAGAAATCCTACAACAGAAAACCCCTCGACTCAAAACTCATTTATAATAGAAGCCAATGGGCATTTGCTTCAGCATCTGAGTATATTTTGAGTCAACTGGTTTTTATTCTTTTCCTATGTACAGGGAAATACATCTAAATTGTTGTCTGTGATAATCGACCCGTATGATATGGATGCAGCAGATGGAGTATTCCTTTAAAACACATTGGGCCCTGTTCCTCATTGAGGAACGTTCCTTTCTTTTATTAGAGCTGATCTGCTAACGGTCTGGTTAGGAGAGAGAGCCATTTGCATGGTGCAGCTGCTATATACCCCTTTTCTGTCAAGGAAAGTTTTGAAATCAGAACAGAAAGCCCAGATATGCATTTTCTCAAAAATAAAGGGACAAATAGTTTTACAATTAACCTTTTTACTATTTTCCTAAGATAGATAGAGAGTAGGTAATTAAATGAATAATTACATTAAGGCCAAAATGTTGAATTGTCCTTCAAGTGTATGAGACATAAATGCTTCTGCACCCAAAGGGTAAACCTAATGCAATGAATTATGGCTAATAAAATGTTGAAAATGTGAGATGTTTGTTTCTTCACTTTGTGCAGACACTACAAGAAAAGTACACATTATGCCAAGAAAGTGATTTTTAATAAGTAGCAATTTAGTGGTTCAGTTACATAATAAATGATTTTCACGGTTTGTAATTACAGAATTTATGAAAAAATGTACTACCGTTTTTACCATTAATCACTCTTGAGAACGTCTGTGTTGCACATCTTTCCTTGTTTTTCTTGTTGAAACACATCAGACTCAGGGATTTATAACGGGTGTGTTAGATCAGAGAATGCGTTAAAATGAGTATACTATATAGTATGACTTAAGCATTGTCTACGATCCAAACTTTATGTGCTTTTTGTGTGCAGAAGTAAGATGCATACTTAAAAAAGGCATAATTTAAGAATCTGTGACGTAGGCACGCTTGAAAATATAGTATGCATACTGTGCATTTATGAGTATGTATATTACAGTATGCTTGCTTGACAAAATGTTATGCATGATGTGTGCAAGTGGCTACAACGGTGGTATGACGTATTTGCGTAATGCATGTTGGGTATTGTAGTGAGAAAACAAATGGAAACACAAAAAAGGGGACACAATTGTGAGTTCTGTCAGGTCGATGAGGCTGAGGGATGCAGTGCTGTGCTACAGAAAAAAGACATAACATGGCAATTAACGTAAGTGCTAGTTTTAGGCCAGAATTGCGATTTAATGAGAGGAACAACTTTTCTGGGATAGTGCCGATTCAGTTCTCACAAAAAAAAAAAGAGAAATAAAGTCTAAATTCTGTTACGTTTGAATTTATTTCTTAACACAAAGCATTCAATTTTTCCTTGCAAAATGTAGTTTTTACGTGTAAAAGTTTAATGTTGACATGTTTAAATTCGATTCATTTTTTTTTACTAATATTAATAACATTTCCCTTTGTTATTTCTGATGGCAAGTAAATTCCATCAAAAAGCCGAAGCGGATTTGCGCTGTGGTGCCGTGTGTAAATGTGGCTGTAGTTGTAGTTCCAGTTCACACCGGGAGGTGGCAGCACCAGCAGCTTCAGTTCAGTTTTCCTTATCAGCCAAAGAACAGTTGGAGCCGGAGAGCCAGAATGCCGAAACGAGAAATAAAAGAAGAAAAGCCGAAACTCTTTAAAATCAGGAGAGCAGGAGAGTCTAAGAAGTTCGGAGTAGCAGCGTCGACCCTGAAGGAGCTGATCAGGAAAGGATGTGGGCTGTTTCAGGTGCGGTGGATTTTACAGTGTGTTCTGTTCGCTGATAGGAGCCGTAATTACTCGGTAATGTCGACTCTGTCTGCAGGCGTCTCCGTCGAAGGCGCAGTGCTGTCTGTACGAGGACGGGACTCTGATAACGGAAGAGTATTTCCTACACGTTCCTGAAAACACAGAGGTGGTTCTGCTTTCTGCTGGGCAGAGCTGGAGCGGCTGTGAGTAACTTTTCTGACAACAAACATCAGTTAAAAAAATCTACATATTAAATGTGAAGTAATTTCACCCAAAACACGTAGTTCTAGCTTTAAACCAGAGATGTGTGGAGTAGATTAAACCCTGTACTCGAGTAAAAGTAACAGTATTGGTACTTCGGTTAAATGACTAAAGTAAAAGTAAAAGTATTTTTTCCAAAAAAAAACAACTTGAGGAGGAAGTAAAAAGCATCAAGACACAGAATTCATCAAGCACTGAGTGCTCTGAACTACTGTATAGAAACTCGGACTGCAAAAAAAACTAACACTTTGATTATTCATGTTAATTGACTTATAATCGATTAATTAATTTAACTCATTGTAGCCCGTAAATGTGAAATGAGCTGTAACAATAAAACGTTTGGCGATGTTCTGACGATCTGAGCTGCTGTTCACCAAGAGCTAAATTACCACCACAGAGAAAAACCGTGGTGCTCTGTTTAAGCCTGTCCATCATTTTGAGCTACAGTAAATAATCAGCAACAGCTAAAAAATAAGTGATATAATAATAAATATGTAGATTAACAAAGCAGCTTTTCATGCTGCGGTGTCATTTTAATGCGCTAGTTAAAAGTAATGTTGTACTTCCATGGAAAGCGTGTTGTATGTTACACTTCATTTTAAGAAAACGCTCCCAGAATTTACTACTTTTGTAAACTTCGAGCCATAATTGTTCTTTTTCTCTGGTACCACAGTGTAAGTGAATTGCTGCCCTCTTCAGGTTAAGTCGTTAACACACTCCAGTTTGGAGGCTACTTTGAAAATAATCAACAACAGAAATATTTGTCAGTTTATTGATGATGTCCAATAACTGTTTCAGCCCTAACAGAGACTATAAGGTCTAAACTGAATCTGTTCTTCTTCTTTTGATGCTTTCTTGGTCTAAAATCAAATGATAAACCTCAGCAGTCAAAGAGGCGTCCAGTCACAGAGCAGTACAGCTGCTGTTGCTGTTATAACATGATACAGTTAAACACAGTGAAAGGAATTCATTACTCAGAGTGAATAGTTTGTGAAGAAGTAAGAATATTAGTGTTTGAAAATACTCAAGAAAATCCACTAAAAGTTTACATGAGCACGTGTAACTGAGTAAGTGTATCTCTGCTTTCGTTCTACAGCTGTGGTTTATGACCTTGGCCAGGTGCTGTGTTTGGACAGACATGCAGACGAGCTCATCAGTGCAGCCAAGAACCTGCTGCAGGACGATGATGAAGAGCTTCCTGCTAAAAGAAGAAAACTCCTGGGGGATCTCTTGTGTAATCTGAAAGACAACGCAGATCTGGAGGACAGAGCAGATGATGAGGAATGGTTTGAAGGTAATAACAGTTGTGAGTGAAAGTAGGGTGGGCAGTATTACAGTATCTGTTTAAGTAGATCTAATGTGGCACAGTACGTGAAATGTTGTATAAAGATTTCTATTTTATAGAATATATTTTTTTCATAGTATTTCAAATGTGGCTCTTCTGGTGCATTTTATCTGTTTTATCTTTTTAAACCTCATACAAGACAAATATTTTGTGTCGTGAAAATGTCTTCATTTATCATGTTGTATTTTTGCGTCTTATCACCCACCATTAAATGAACTATAACCACAGTAATTAGCTGAAGGGAATAGAAGCCTAAAACTAAAGTAAAAGGAAATCTCAGATCTCAGATTCCCTAATTGCAGTGGAGCTTCTTAAAACATCCAGCATCTGTTAGGAACTGAAGTTTGTTGCAAAGGGCAAGATGTATAAGAAGTATTTTCAGCAATGTTCATATTTTCAATATTCAGATGCCAATATGAATATTCAAATCTGAATCTGAGTATCAGTGGGCCTCATTCACCAACCTTTCTCAAGGTGAAATTTCTTCCTACAACCCACTTATGCCATTTTCAGGAAGGTTCTGACCTTTACCAGTGTTTTCTTATTTGGAATTTCTTCTTAGGTATAAACAGGATAAAAACACTCAACAGCACAAAGGTGTGAACAGTTCTGCAGTTTAGGAACACGTCATGAATGTAGTATAGACCTTTTCTTTGGACCTTTCTCATGAACAGTTTTAAGAAAAAGCTTAGGACGATATTGGTGAATAAGGCCCAATATCATTGTGGTTTTGGCATTAACACCATGCATATTAATACCGTGATTTTGACAGGAGGCTTTATGTTTTCTTATTAGCCAGTCACAAACTATTTTTTTTTGCAGATGGCAAAACGCAATTCTCAGGCCAGTGCAAAGAAATAAACTTCTTTGTTGACCTGTTTGAATAATAAATAATTTGTCTAGTTAACATTTGGGGAAATGAACCTTCACCAGCTGTAACAAAAGGAAAAACTCATTAAAAGAAGCTTTATCTGTAGCTCTGGCTTTTTTTTTTACTTTCTTTACTTCTCTTAGTTTATTGTTATAGTTTTTTACTGAAACATAATAACAATAATGTTAGTTTCTGAAAGGATTATTAATATATGTTTACTCTCGAGTGAATAACTATCTTAAATATCCATTTCCAGGGATTGACACAAGGTTTAAGACCAAGTCGGCATATATGAAATACAACTGTGAACAAAGGATACGGGGGTACCTGAAAGAGGTAGGAACTGTGCTCCATTTTCTGTTCCATTTATTATTTCACAGGTTATATATATACACACATACATATACATACTGTATGTACAAAGGTATGGGACACACCTCTCAATCATTGAATTCAGGTATTTCATTCAGTCTTATTGCCACAGGTGTATAAAATCAAGCAACGAGCCATGCAGTCTGCCTTTACAAACATTTGTGAAAGAATGGGTTTTTCTAAAGAGCTGACTGAATCCGAGCATGGTGCTGTAATAGGATGCCACCATTGTAACAAGTCAGGTTGCGAAATTTCTTCCCTCCTAGAAATTCCATGATGAACTGTGAGTGGTATTACTGAAAAGTGGAATGTGATGATGTAAAGTACTCCTTTACATATCACAATATAATGACTGGTTGTAAACACTTACCTGTACTTACTTGAAGACGGATTATCCCTGCTTTGAGGAGCAAAGAAAACTGAACAGGTTCACCTGTGATTTACGTACCTGGGTGAGTCCATCCTCTGTAGAAGAGGAGGGAAGGACAAAACCTGTAAGAAAAGGAAATTGTTTAATAAGTGTACACTGTATTGTGAATATGCGTTAATGACATCATAAATGTAACTGTGAAGAATAAGTGAAGAACATGAATTATTTACTGTTGAATGTAAATATATTTAAATAGCTGAAGCGCTTGTTTTAACCCGGGCCAGTAATGGTATATTCTAGGGGATGAGCACCCCTAATATAAGCAGCATTACTGGGGGGTATGGAAGAGAGATCCCTTCTTTCAGCTTGGTGGAAGATTGAAGTTGATACGAGTAGAAGACCTATATGACTTTGCAGTCATTGGTCTGTTGCATAGCTGTAGAGACTATTTTCGTTTTCGTTTCCGTTTGTTATGTGTGCGCGTGTAAATATGTAAATAATCCTGAGTATTGGTGTGTAAATAAAGGTGACGGGGAGAAGAACTCTTGGACCAGCTGTATTTTATTCCAGTTACTTGGACCACTTGCCCGACGCTACCCGTAAGGCGTGTCCCCTGCCACAGCACACTGCCAGGTCCAGGGACGCACTTTATCACATGGAAGCATTTAGGAACCACAGCAACTCAGTTACAGAGTGGGGTCGCCGAGTGCTGAGGCGCATAGTGCATAAAAGTCACCAGCACTCTGCTGACTCAATGACCGAGTTCCAAACCTTCCCTGGCGTTAACATCAGGACAAAAACTGTGCACTGGTAGCTTCATGGCATGGGTTTCCTTGGCCGAGCAGCAGCATGCAAGCCTTACATCACCAAGCACAATGCCAAGTGTTGGATGGAGTGGTATAAAGCACGCCGCCACTGGACTCTGGAGCAGTGGAAATGTATTCTGTGGAGTGACAAATCACGCTTTTCTATCTGGAGTCTGGGTTTGGTGAATGCCAGGAGAACCGTTACCTGCCTGACTGCATTGTGCCAACTGTAAAGTTTGGTGGAGGAGGGATAATGATATGGGGTTGTTTTTCAGGGGTTGGCCTAGGTCCCTTAGTTCCAGTGAAGTGAAATCTTTATGCTTCAGCAGACCAAGACATTTTGGACAATTGTACGCCTCCAACTTTGTGGGAATATTTTGGGGAAAACCCTTCTGTTCCAGCATGACTGTGTCCCAGTACACAGAGCAAGGTTCATAAAGACATGGCTGGGTGTGTTTGGTGTGGAAGAACCTGACTGACGTCCAACATCTGTGTCTGACCTCACAAATATTCTTCTGGGTGAATGGGCAAAAAATTCCCACAGACACACTCTTGTAGAAAGCTTCCCAGGAGAGTGGAAGCTGTTAAAGCTGCAAAGTGGAGAACAACTCCATATTAATACCTATGGATGTAGAATGGGATGTCATAAAAGCTCCTGTAGGTGTCCCAATACTTTTGTCCGTCCGTGTGTGTGTATGTGTATGTATAGGTCTATATATATATATTTGTGTGTTTTCTCTACTGTAAAGTATGAACATAATTACATAATGTCAATACCGTGTTCCTTACAGTAAACAATACAAAAGCAAAACTCTATTGTTTGGTACTGCATGCTCAGAAAACAGTAACCAGTCACTACTATGAAGCACTGCAAATTTTCCAATTACTCACATTTGTATTTACTGTGGAAAGTTGGGCAGATCTGTAGTATATGACGTAGATTTAATCTGATTTCTGTGCATTTCTCTGCAGGTGGATGGTCATGCTCAGACTATTCAGAGTGTTAGGGCGAAAGGTGAATATAAGAAGGTGGTGATGAGCTTGGCAGAAAAGCTGAAATCTGAGCGTTATAATGGTAATTACTTTGACAGGACAGAGAAGGAGCTACATCGACTCTGCACTAATGAAGGCTGGTTCTCTTGTCAGGTATCTTAGCTAAACAAATGACTTTTAGATGCCTTATAGAAATAAAAATATGATTTTTTGTCTGTTAAGGCAGTAGTATGTACTTCTCAAGAGATATCAGACTATATTTAAACCTTCCAGTCTTTTAGAGTTTTGTTGTATTGACAGGGTGCTTTTGATCAAGAGAAGTGTGGGTCTCTGCATTCAATAAATCCATACGGCAACCGTGAGAGCAGAATACTCTTCAGCACCTGGAATCTGGACCACAGGTGAGTGGAGAGCCATACAACCCAGACTAATCATTATAAAACCAATTACTACGTTTTTCAGGTGACGGTGTTTTTAGAGTAGGAGTGCTTTTACAGGATCAGATTCAGATTTACTGACTGGAACAGATCCTAATTCGTACTGCTTATCTCAGAATCTTCATGAACGCAGGCCCTGATCACATTTCTTAGGGTAATCATACTAGATGCCTTGTTTATTTATGGTAATAAAACTCCTCTGTTTCAGAATTGAGAAGAAGAGAACAATCATACCGACTCTTGTTGAAGCACTTCATGCTAAAAAGAGCAGCGACATAAACCTGGACTATTTCTACAAACTGCTGTTCACTCGAGAAAACCTCAAACTGGTTCACATTGTCTGCCACAAAAAAGGGGCTCATGACCTAACATGTGATTCACGCCAAGTGTACAAACGGGCTAAGAAGACTCAGAGGTGACATGGGTAATAATCGCCTCATGGATTCCATAGATTAGTCTGGGGAAAGTGGTTATTTTCTGCCAACTGGGAACACGTAGCATTTACAAGAACAAAAACGGGTCTATACAGGTCTTTTTATATTGTATTTTTTATAAAATATGAATTATTTTTTCATAATGACTTGTAATTGTTTACTTTTTATACCTTTTATATTTTTTTAATGTGGACTTTACTAGTGGTCCCCTTTGATTTTGTGTACACTGATCAGTGACTGAACTATTAAATTCAATTTCTTATGCACCCTCAGATTCTGTTGAGTAACTTTTGTCAACTTTAAACTGATCCCGCTAATGAAATTCTTCTACATAAGGAATTCAGAATATAATCTCTACATGTTTGTTTAATTTTATGAACTGGTTTGCTTTTTATAGAGAGCCAAGTTTGTTTTTGTGCATTTACTTAAAGCTAAATGCAATTTCCTGAATGACAACTGATACTTGATGTTTTCACCCTCTCAGCCCTGAGCTAAGTATTCAAAATAATAAGCGGCACAAGATTTAGCCAAAAAAGGCTCATCACTTGCAATAAGTTACATTAATACGGAGCCCTCAAATCATGCTCTTTACTTTAAACCATAACAATAATTCCACACGTTTGAACTCTGTAAATGTTTATTTTGTCTGGATGGAGTTACTGTAGCTTTGCCAAAAATGTGTATTTGCAAAGTGTAAATAGAATAATACAGCAATTGTTTAACATTTAAATATGACCATCTTACAAAGTATTTGTTAGCAAAAGTAGCACTTTTCATTTTAATACAAAAATATACAAATATCTGTAGTCATACACCAAACCTAGCTAAATGTTTTGTGTCTTACAATTTATACAGACATGCCAATATAAAATAAATTAATGTTAAGCCTTTGAATATAAAGTTAGTGCAAATGTTTCATTAAACAAAACTATACAAATGATCTCAATTGCAGATTTCCAATATAATTAATGCTGGTAATATGATCAACCTTTACAAGTCTTACTATATACATCAAAACCTTTGAGAGGCTAACAGATAAAAAGGTGTCATTAGGCCAAACAAATCCAAGCAATAAACCATCTGCATTATATTGTCCATTACATAAAAGAGGCATCAGGCCTCCATGACAAGTGTTCATCCTTTTCTTATTTAGCTTTTCAATCAAAAATGCACCATGTGAAACAGAAACAATAAAAAAAAAAAAGAACATCTCACTTTGGATTAAAAAACAAACAAACCCTCATGTATTCATTATTGTTTTAAGTTTCAACACTAGCAGTTGTCTGACTGAGGCACTTTCTGTAAAAATGTGTAAAAACAACCTCCTGTCCATGTTAAAACCTGTATGTCTTCACAGAACGCATAAAAAAATTAATTGCAGAGTGTAAAATTGCTGGACTGTGTAAAACTCCTCCAGCAAGTTTCCCTTGTCACACAGCTGTCTGTCTGCACAAACACAGATCACATGATGTGATAACAGTTGATATATTTGCCTTGTTTGCCCAAAACTACTCACGTTAGCAATAAATGTCCTTAAAAATATACATTTACTTCTTTTACAAAAGACAGTGGAACGAGGCGTTGAGTTTTCTAATCTGCTTTTGCAATGTCATGTATTTCCAACACGTTCACTGTCAAGGCCTTGAGTCACTTTTTGTTAGTAAACTGCTAGAACTGCAGATACACTGATTTGTTAAAAGACTTTGGATAAAAACTGGGGAAAAAAAAATTCTAATTTCATTATGAGTACTTCCCTGAAATAACCTTATCTGAAGTCATTTTTGTAGTCTCAGTTCTGGTACAACTGAGCTCACACAGAAGTATCTCATAGAAATAGCAGAGCGCTATAAAGAGGAACTTTTTCCCAGGCTGTGTTAGTGAATATATAAACCCAATATAAAACCCTTAAAAATATTCTTTGAAGTCTTGCCAGTGAGATTTTACCTCTCCGGTGTTCTTTTGAAATCTTTTTCTCTGTGCCACAGGATTCTGCCATCTAATGGCCTAGTAGAACACTGTTTTTAAGAAAACATTGGTACAGTGGATGCATCAGAGTTTTGCTCAGCCACTGTGTTTGTTTGTTATGTCTGCTCCTCGTCACTGTCCTCTTTGGCGTAGTAATGACGTCTCCTGTACTCTCGTCTGCTCATGCCCTCTGTGGCTGTGGCTCTGCGTGAGAAGTCCTGCAAAAATATAAAAGCATGTTTGGACACATTAATCAAATCTGTCACCAACTACATGGGTTTATAAAGCTCCATCTGGCTAGTGGTCTCTATTAAGTCACTTTTTAAAGCTGAACTATGTAAGTTTCAGGGATTTGGAGACGTCTCTGGTGGAAATGTGTGACTAAAGGTCGAATAATAATAATAATAATAATAATAATATAATAATATATTACTGGGGCTGTTGCACGATAAAGCTCGATTACTCAACTAACAAGAGTAAAATGTACTCTCTCAGTGAATCAGGAATGTGTAGGTTGCAATTTGAATGAGAATACATCACATTTTACATGATTATATTAGTTTCTCTTACAGAAAGAAGCAAAGCCTGATGGACAACCACTAAAACTGTATTTTAGCATTTCATTTATTTTTCAGATTGCCAGTATAATTAATGCTGGTAATATGATCAACCTTTACAAGTCTTCCTATATACATCAAAACCTTTGAGAGGTTAACAGATCAAAAGGGGACAAGTGTCATTAGGCCAAAAAATCCAAACAATAAACCATCTGCATTATATTATCCATTACATAAAAGAGGCATCAGGCCTCAAAAAAGTAAAATGTACCTTCTCAGTGAATCAGGAATGAGTAGTTCGCAATTTGAATGGGAATAAATCATATTTTACATGATTATATTAGTCTTTCTTACAGAAAGAGGCAAAGCCTGATGAACAAACACAAACTGTATTTTAGCATTTCATCTATTTCTATTTTTCTTGTTCCAGTTTTCTGGAATCTCTACAAGGACATTAATAATATGTAACTGTTAAGTCATTTTTTATTGTTCTTTGGCTTCAAAAATAGACAAGATATAATTAATCGTCAAAATAATCGGTACTGAATTCCTGATTTAATGTTAATGGATAGCGACAGCCCTACACTTGTACAATTAACAATGCATATTCTACACTAATTTTTGTGTGCAAATAAAAACAGTTTCTACCTGAACTGAATCCAGATTCCCAAAGAATTGCTCCACGGGAAAAATGTGGTTACTGTCCTCATCGAAGAAAACACTGAGGTCCGTCTGCTCGGCGGCTCCGCTCACCGCCGTGTCCTCCATCTTCATCTTCCCCGCTGCAGGGTTTGGTTTACCCGCACTGTTCTCCTTCCCTCGCCGCTCTTTAGGCGCCATCAGTCCGGTCTGAGTTTTTACACTTTCGCTCAAATTCCCAGTTAATTTCTCTTCCGCTCCTCCGCCGTGAAGTGGTCTCTTGGGGAGCCGTTTTCTCTCCCCGCTTTCTCCGGCCATCTGCTGCCTTCTGCCTTCGCTTCCAGCGGCGGCCCGTAACCCGCGCAGCGCTCTCCTCTTTACGCAGTGCTGCTGCGGAGGGCAGATACCAGCAGGGGGTTAAAGAGTTAAACAGTGTGCATCGGGTTAAAGAGAGCGTGTTTACAGTGTGCTAGAGCTGATAAGACCCCGACGGGCGGAAACTGTGGGGAAGGAGGAGGAGGCACAGACGGAGGGCTTTGGCTCTGACACTAACCTCGCTTGAACTTTTCACACGGAGCCGGTTTAAAGACACGGTGTACTCTTCTTCTTCTCTCCGGTTCCCGTAACCCTACACAAGAAAACAGAACAGATCTTTTACATAACTAATATACCAGGACTTCACTGGTGTCCCTTCAACCGCTCAAAACACCGTAAACCAACAGCATAAATCCAATGTTTTGGTTAGCTAGGTTAGCTAGCTAGTTAGTTGACGTACGTTAGTTACGTAGCCGCGGCTAACTACATGATCTCCGTTACAGCTGGTTGACATTAAAAGCAACACAAAGCTTACCCGCTGATCCACATAGGTTAGCTAAATCTCCTACTTGCTCTCGTAAAACACCGCAAAAAAACCAAAGACGCCAAACACGACACACATAACAGGAGAAAACAGTGTGACTGATTACCTAGTAAAATTACGCTATTTACCAAAACAGAAGCTAAACCAAGGACAAAGAATTAGACTGTTTGTTTCCAGCCATCTCGCGACAGCGACGTCTTCGCAAACTAAACTAATCATGTTAAAAGTTGTAAGTAAATTTCAAGTTTGAATTGCGTTAAATTACCTGTTTAGTCCTCATCTGAGAGAAGCCGTGTTGACCGTGAGCGGCTCCGTTTCTCTCCGGCTGGTTGGGTTCTGCTACCAGGCGCCGCCAAAGCTGAAGCCCCGCCCAAACACGAAATGACGCAGAAACAGTCTGGAGGGGCTTTTCACCTTTAGATGGGTGACACCAGACGTTCACCTTCCGGTCCGATACCAAGTAATACAAGGCTAACGCCTCAATATCGATACTTTTAAAAGTCTTCTTGTATATAAAAAAGGACTTCATAAAGACATAAAATATGTATTAAAAGTTTGTAGTGAAAAACCAGTAAATGTGGACAAACCTAAAACCTACATATGCGTTAATGTTAAAGGGGAACTCCAACAAATTTTCAAAATGTATGCATAATTAAATAGTTAAGACGTCAATAAAATAGTTCAGAGTGGTTTGGTGGGAAATGCTCCGTTCTAGAGAAACTTACAGAGTCAGACTTGTTTACAGTGGTTATAATAGGAACCAGACGTCTGAGGAGATTAAAATGCCTCTAAAAGCTCCTGCACAGAAAGTTATTACATGAAATGCTTATGAATACACATCCTGATGTCTAAGACACTGTTTTAATGTAGTTTTGTGATAAAAGTTTGGTCTGAAACATCTTTTTATCAGTGTATTTTAATCCATTCAGGGTGGAGGGCAAAATAGTCCCCAAAGGAAACATAATTTTTTCCGATTGACCATTATTGTACTTTCATAAACATGACATAAAAACTCAGAAGACACATGTAGGTTCACTGGTGGTTTTGGATAATAAATGAAATGGCTATATATGCATTGAAGACATCAGAACTCCTGGTTCCTCTCACCACCACTGTAAGAAATCTGCGTCGGTAAGCTTCTCTGCAAATTAATCATTTCACATCAAACCACTCTCAATGACTTTGTTTACATCTCAACCACTGGATTATACAGAAATTTTGAAAAATCGGTGGAATTACCCTTTAATTAAATAAACTCATATAAACTGAAAACGCAGAAGCAAAAATGCTCCATATCCTACAGCATCAAAGCCACATTTTGTTTTATAAAAAGATCCAGTTTTTGTAGAGGAGTTTCAGTCCATTTTAACTGGAATTTCTGCATAATTAACTTGCTAACTAAGTCCTCATAACTGAGATGCTTTCAGTTTTAGCCTTTATACTTAAGAACTAAGAACATTTTAGGTTTAAGGGGAAATGTGAGGCTGAGTTTTGTTTCAATCTTTTATTGTCTATTTATAATCCTCGTTTAATTTTAATCTAAGGAATATTTGAGGAATGTGTCTATTTAAGTAATTTCACTTTATTTTCCATATTTTAGAAATGTTTAACCTTTTAATGGAAATGGAAATGTAAAACTGCTCTCCTAGGGTCAACACTGTAACTAGTAATGAAAGCAGCAGCAGTCTATGGGGTGAAGAAAAGGAGAATCACCCTTTTAAGAAAAATTTGCTCTGCATAAACTTCACCAATGTGATTATGTGTTTTTCTATATGACTCAGTATATCAACTGTTTCCTATATACTTAGAAATCTGCAAGGATATTTTTCCACACCCCAAAAGAAGTTACATTTTCTGCTTCCCATAATTCAAGTAATCCCAAACAATGAAGTCTGGACTCTGGGGTGGACAGTCCATTGTTTTGAGAACACCAGCGGCACAAGACCTCTCGCAAGAATTGCATAACATTTGGCAGCACCACGTCAGGTCTTCAGCTAGCTATAAGAAGGAGTAGTATTGAAATTCAAAGTGTGACCTCTGCCAGAAAATAAAAGCTTAAAAATCTTTTAGGATTATTGTTCATGATTTTTTTTTGTTTTGTTTTGTTTTTTCCAAATCAGAACTTTGGATACACTGTAAAAAAAAAAAAAGTCCTAATTTTTCAGAATATAACAGTTCAGTTCAGTTTTTTTGATTGTATACAAAACTCTATACAATTACAGACAATATCTGTAAATTAACAACTCATCTGTTATTTTAAGGATTACACCAATAATAACAAATTACATTTATTTCTTATTTAAATCTGTAATTAAATATGTAGCACATTGTATGAAGGTTTATGCCCATATTAATGAGTTAATGTTTTTACTTTGTATCCTGCCTTCCGCCCAATGACAGCTGGGATAGGCTCCAGCACCCCACCGCGACCCAGAAGGATAAGCGGTTTAGATGATGTATGTATGTATGTTTTTACTTTGTACTTTTAAGGTAAATCTTATTAGTTTTATATTTTTGTGTACTTTTACATAAAAACTCTGTAATTCTGAATACAAATTTAGCAAAGTTTTTCTATGACATCAAACATAATGCATAGTCTTTTTTAAAGAGTACAAAGCTACACAGCTCTCAAAGTTGCAACTTTCAGGCATGTTATGGCTCTGGCCACACCCAGTTAGTGATGTCACAGTGAGTAAAAGCACATACATGTCAATGAATCTGACAAAAGTGAAATACATAAAGGCAAAGTCAGGAAAATGAGGCACTGTAATAGTCCAGGCAGGAAGTAGAAGCAAGAATGACAAGCTTTAAGTCCTTTAGAGCAGCAACATGCATGAAAGCTTCAACCTCAAAAAAGCAGTGAAGCAGGAACTTTTTGCCATATGATTTAGTGTGGACTTACTATCAGTTCCTGCTTGTTGTTGGGTAGAGGCTGATTACCAATGAGTATATTGCTGAAAGAACAACAACCATTGCACAAAAAAAGTTAGGAGTGGGTTAATATTTATTCATTCTAATGTATCTTACAAATAATTTCTATTCATTGTGTTACATTAAACTGGAGTAGGCCCTTATCTGCTGTTCAGTAAACTGAAAATGACAATGATATGATTTCCACATTCTGGAAAATGTGAGTAAAAAATATTATTGATACTTTTGTTTTTTTGTTTAAACCCCAAAAGGAATTTAATTTTTAATGTGAAATTTAAAGTGAGTGGTAAGTAGATTCCTCTCCTCACAAATATTCCTGGACACAAATAAAAGCATTATTATGTAAACCCTTAATGCCTATCTGAAGTACTTAACAGTGTTATTTCTGAACATTTTTTGTTAATTACATATTGTTCTTACCAAAAAAATAGATTTTTCCACTTCAGCAAGCATTTTACTGGTTAACTATAAATTTACCAACTTCTGAACTTAGCTCCCCTAAAGGCTTAAATGATATCACACACTCTTTATCATGTTATTTCATCACTATCAAACGAAAAAGTATTTCTAAGCTACATGAAAGTAAGGTGGGCTATGGAAGTGTTCTGACAAGTTGTACTACCTTATCAAAATGTTCTATCATAGCGCATATTTACAGGTATACCTGTAAACAGAACATCTAGGTAGGACATTTCAATAGCCTACAACTCTGTATCAAAAATGCTACCAGTGTTAGAACTACAAAGTTGAATTTAGCTTCTTTTTCGCAGCTTCTTGTCCGAAATTTCCTGTTCCACTTTAAATGGTCCAGCATTTGTGCTTAGCTGTCACAAACATTAGCGAATGAGACAAAACAGTGATGACCTATTGGTTCTGTTAAACAGCAAAAATAAGTTAACTTCAATTTGAATTCATTTAAATTAATTTAACTAAAGTTAACTTAAGGTGACTAAATGACAGCTGTCAAGCAGAAAGACAGCAACCTGCTCATATCAAGCCTTTCTATTCTGAAGTCAGCTTCTTTTTCGCCAGCTGCTTGATCGAATTTTCCCATTTCACCTTAAATGGCGCAGCAGTTAACAGCCTTATTAATCATGCAAACAGGGTTCACATGCTAATAAATGCTGGATGTACTAATAAATTACACTGCAGTTCTACAGGGAATTCCTGCTTCACCTGTTTTTTTTGGCCTGGTACTCCTACTTGCTTAAGCTTCTTTTACTTCTTGAGACATTACTTCACTGAAGTTACAACACTTTTACCTCAGGATGTTTATAAGGCTACACTACACGCCTCTGCTCAGTGCATTTCCCTTTTGGTGGTCTTATTACTAACTCTGTAGTTTAGTTAATGTAAATTAGTAGCCAACTGCCTCCATTAACATTGTTACATTTTCTGTTGCATGAGTGATCTTGCTCTTCCAGATGTACAGCCTCAGTGAAATATGCAAGTGCTGCACCTCAGTGACTGTGAATAGTGAGCTGTAACTGTATATTAGATAAAGAGGAAAAGGAAGAACAGGAGGAAGGCTTAAAAACAACAACCAGAAATGCCTCTGTTCACACTGCTCCATAAGCCTAACTGAAAACAAAAAATGTAATGTGTCTGCTTCACAGACCTCAACCATTCTGTAATATTTACAAATTCCTCTTCTATATTTTTCACAGTCTCCATCTTTCTGTGAGTCCTGATCAAGTCTTTGGGGATCAGTGGAAAACCAAAGGAGCACACAGTGGACCCATGGTAAGCATTTTAGCCACTGCTGTTTCAGATAGCGATTACATTAATTTTGCCAAGAAATGATGCATTTTGTGTCTTAACTGCCAGTCCCCCCCCACACACACCAAACCACAACAGCAGCAACAAAACAAATCAATAAACTTTGTCACAAGTTTGCTTTAGACACACTGGATGTTCTCCAGGACTTCCAGAAACAGTAGCCTTCTTATGTGCATATTTCATTGTGATGAGGTTTTGACAAATGTTTTAAAGTATTTTTGGTATTTACTTTCACAAACCATGGTCTCAGAATGGCCCACACAAGGGCCATTTCAGTCTGCACTCGCTCAGCTCTGCTCAGATGAAAGAAATAGCAGAAATCACAATTTTGCCTGAAAGCTGGTTACAAAAAAATTGTATCAATTGTCAAACAGCTGAATGTGAAGCTTATTTTCTGCATTTAAAAAAATCTATTCTTCAAATCAATGAAGATTTTCAAAGGCTTACTGGATCAAACTTAAACTTGTAGTGAAAACAATGAAAAAAAGCAAAGTCTCCAAGTCCTGATGGGCTCACTTTAGTATTTCTTTCTGCATTTCTGATTGATTTTGGAACAGCCTACATTCTTAATGCTACAGGAATATATAAACAATGGTGAAATGATATCCGCAGTGATACAAGGCTTAATTTCACTGATCCCAAAACCTGCCAAGA